TCATGAAATTATATATATATTTAAGATACCTGTGTCTCTAGTACTAGGGACTGAACACAAGGCTGCACATGCTGTGGGAGTGCACTCTGCCACTGAGCTGACATCCCCAGCTCTCTGGATTGTATATTTAAAAATCATAATAATAATAAGGTCACATTTTGTGGGTTAAGACAGTGATGTGGCAGGAATAATAGTACTTCAATTTGTCCTATATACATTTTTAAACTAAAGTTTCCACATTCACTCTCCATAATTCCCTGTGTCTCATGTTCACAGCAACTCTTCTGAGGGAAGAATTATCTTCATTCTGTAATGGAAGGCTGGGATTTAACAAGCTCTTACTGCTGTGTAATGTACTCTGACACACAGTGCTGTTTCTTTCCTGCCACACCACATGTAGGTAGCCTGTGTTTCTTGCTTTCCTAGTAATGAGTGAAAAAACAATAGTTATTGAGCGTGAGTTTTGTGCTTAGAATGGTTTTAGGTACAAAACAGTAAAGAATTGGGGGTATAGCTCAGGGGTAGGGCTTTTGCTTAGCATGTGTGAGGCCCTAGGTTCAATCTTTAGCACTGCAAAGTTAAATTTTTTTACTTTATGCTTTATATAAAAATTCTTTCGATTTCAAGTGAACAGCAACACGTGACTGGCTAGCTAGTAGAAACACAGCTTAGGCTTGGCTTAAGAAAGGCTTCAACAGGATGGTGTTGAGTCATGCTCTGAAGAACTTTTTATTTAGAGTAAATGGAAAAGGTCATTCCAAGTAAGAGATCTAGCTTACTGAAGTGAAAAAGAAACACACTTTTAGGACAACCAATTTGATCAAAGCATATACTGTGTGGAAGGTATCTTGTGGGAGAAGTCTGAGAAGATGGTAGGTTAGGAAAACTTAATGACGTGGAAGAAGTCTGACTCGACTGTCCACAGCAGGGAACTAAAAATTTTGAGTAGAAAGTGTCTTGATTAAGGACATAAGAAGATGGGTCTGATAGCAAAGATGTGAAGGGGGCCGCATAATGAGAGGCTGAAAGCAGTGAGAACCGGGAAAAGTCATGAACGGAAGATTTATTGTAGATGTAGAAAGAGGAACAATTTCATTTCTTGTCTGCTGCCTTCCTCCAAACTGCTGGGTGTTGTGTAACCCATTTCCTGTTGAAATTGGTCTAGCTGCTTAGAAATCCATGTTATATAAGTCAAAAGTTATGTAAGCAGTAGGCATCAGGACATTTAGCTATGGGTTCTGTTTGTTGTAAGTTTTTATGTATATGTATATACTTGAAATGTTTTGAAACAGGTAAATGAATAGAAACTTTAAAGGCATTTTTTTTGTTAATATGATAGAACTTCAGTAACTGTTGTGATGATCCCAAAGAAGGTTGAAATAGTTGGCCCCAAACCAGAAAGGCCACATTGTATTTTAGAAAGTAGGGTGAAGACATTTGGGAGGTCCCAAGGAGTAGTCAGGATTCTTCGAAGCATGAATTTTAACTTTTAAATTAAGGAGAGAAGGGGGCGGAGGGCAGGGAGAAGTAGGACCAAGAGTTTCATAGCATCCTTTAGCATTGTCAGGCCTTATATTTCTGTACTACTGTATTATACCACATGGGATAGCTTAACTTGGCTCTTGACCAGAACTTAATTGGAATCTTTCGTAGGAAGATGTACCATTTTATGAACTTGGAAGTGGACTTATAATGATTTATAGGTTTAAGCTAGGCTAAAAACTGGACATTTTCTTAAGCTTACTGAGTCATTGAAAGTTGACATCCCTCTTCTGCCCTTGACACTTTCAGGAACAATGAAATAAAGATTAATAATAGAGGTATTTACCCTGATCCCAAAGTGTTGATGGTAAAGAAAGATATGCTGAGGGAGTATTTAATTTGAAGGTAAGTAAGGTATTTGCAATATATTTATATGAAAGTACACTAGTTTGTCTTGTGGGTAACAAATACCCCAGCACCTTAATGGCTTAATCCAACAGAAATCTTTTTTCATACTGCATGCCCAATGCAGGTCTGCAGGAATCTCGGCACTGCACAGTCATCCAGGGACTCAGCCAAGCAGAAAGTCCACCATCTATAACATACGGCCTTTTGAGAAGAGAGCCTGGGGACCACACATAGCATTTTCACAGTTTTAGCCTGGAAACAGCATCATTTCTGCTGGTGTTTCATTGGACAGAACTCAGCTGCTGGGGTGGGCTGAGAAGGTCTGGGAAATGTGGGAGAGCAAATGGAGTATTTCATGAGGATTGCTGTCTCTGCAGTGGGTATTTTCATCCTAGTGTTATGAGTGAAGATGTCAGATCAAGCTCACTGAGTGTAAGCTTACAACTAATGAGTCTTATATAGGACACAGCTCTAAAGATGATTTAGGTAATAAGCAGTAGGAAGAAAATCAGTTCTGAAATGGAGAGTCAGCTCTTTTATGAATTGCCTGGGTTTTTGTTTTTTTTTTTAGAGACTCAATACAATAGAAGTTTATTTCTTTTTTTTTTTTTTTCATTTTTCTTTTATTATTCATATGTGCATACAAGGCTTGGTTCATTTCTCCCCCCTGCCCCCACCCCCTCCCTGGGTTTTGAGTATATTTTGTATCATTGAGTTTCATCTAATACAACATTATTATATGATAGGGCTCTGTGTTTAGAATTTCTCTCTTAAAAATACAAAAACGTGGCTAGCAGAGCAGCTCAAGTGCTAGAGCTCCTGCCTAACAAACGTGAAGCCCTGAGTTCAAACCCCAGTTCTGCCAAAAAAAAAAAAAAAGACTTGGAGCAAAACCATTTTGTAAGTAAAGATTACACTTTTTTGCTATTTTTAAATTACCAGTCATTTTCAGTCTTACACGTATATATGGTATAGTAAACTCACATAATTCACAGATTTATTACACGTAGTTTTGACCAAGTATGGTTAAAAAAATAAAATTAAAAGAAATTTCAAAAACAGAAATGTTAAGTTCCCATGTGCACATTATACAGCTTAGTTGCTGTGAAGTTCTCAGTCTTGTGTTGTTTAAATCATGTGATCTGTCCTTAATTTTGTGAAAATATGTCTCCAAAAAAGCAAATGGTGACTCAAACAAGGTAAAAGTTACAGTAATCCCAAGCAAAAAAGGGCACATAGTGTGCTTAATTAAGTGGCAAAGTAAAATTTTTATATTTGTTGAAAGTGGCATGTCTTTGAGATAGAGCATGGAATAAGATCTAGTCTTTGGTACACATATAAATAGATATATGTACATACATATATATATATATATACACACATATAAATATGTATACAACAGTCATGTTGTGGTAGTAATGTAGCCTACCCCATGTGGTTTCAAGTTATGGATGCCAGACCTATTAAATGTAGGTATAGGGAAATTTGAGAAACTTTAGAGTCCTGAATTCTGAGCATTTGTGGTTTTTCCTCATTGGTGGTCTCCTTAGAACTATATACCTGAAGATACCAAGGGTCTACTGTCATTAAATAATTTGTTTTAGAAATACACTCCTACTAGTATTCATCTTTTTATACCTTAAGATAATTTTTTTTTAACCTGTGGAACAAGTGGGCATATAGAAATTTAAGCCAATAGTACATAAACTAACTCTTCCTGGTTAGTAGGTAATTTATTTAGTTAAAACCCAAAAACTGCTGCATTCTGTAAGAGGTAGAATTTGATGAAATGCAAAACTGAAGTCACTTAACATTAGTTACAGTTTGAAATTCTGTTGCTGTACATATTGTGGACTCCCATCTTTTGCAGACTTTACCTAAGCAGAGTTTGTGCCTGATATTTGTATATAATGCTTTAAACTGTGTATTAAGTCATTCTTCCTCACATTGAGAGTCAGTGGTGGTCTTACTTTCTACTATGGAAACAAAAGCTTCAGGTTAAGAGATCTAATGCAGATCATGTGACTTGAGAGTAGCAGAGCTAGATAGTCTCAGTCTGACCATCCTTGCTTTATGCTCCTTTTCTAGTGTGTTCTTAGATTGAAGTTGCTGTGTATGTTTTGTTTTTGTTTTGCAGTACTGTGGTTTGAAAAGGTATCGTATTACAGAGGATATGATAATGTTTCTGTAGCTTTTGCTTTAAGATTGATTAAGCAATCAGCATGTTTATAATTGTAGTATTTTCCCTATACTATGGGAAAAGAAAGTGGACAATTAGAACAGTGAGAGAGGGCTTCCTTTGTTATAGGAGGGAGTCGAATTAAGGTTCGACTTTAAAAAAGCAGCTACTGAAAAAATTAAAGGACATGTACTTAGTATATACTCTAAAAATAATTATTTGACTGGGCATGGTGGCTCACGCCTGTAATCTTACCTACTTGGGAGGATGAGATCTGGAGGATTGCAGTTTGAAGCCAATCCAGGCAAATAGTTCATGAGACCCATCTCCAAAACAACCAGAGCAAAATGGACTGGGGGTATGCCTTAACCGGTAGAGTACCTGCTTTGCAAGTGTGAAGCCTTGAGTTCAGACCACATTCCCACCAAAAAAAAAAAAAATAATAACCAAAGCAAAAAGGGCTGGTGGAATGGCTCAACAGTGAAGTGTATGTTTAGTAAGCACAGGATTCTAAGTTCAACTCCCAGTACTGCAAAAAAAAAAAAAAAGTTATTAAGTAGTTGTCTGTTGGGGAGAATAGGAGAGTGGAAGAAAACCAAAGCTCCCGAAATGGCTAGATGAGTTCAAGTACTGGCTCGCTGCCATCTTTTCTTACTTTCAGTGCTGCTGTGGGCATATTACTTGCCTTCTTTATTTCTTCACTTTCAGAAAAGGAAGAAGGTTGTTAGGAACATACCTTTCATGTAGGACCATTGGGAAAACTAACTGATCAGAATAAATTTAAAGGGTTCTGCAAAATTCCTGACCTGGCTCAGTACATGATCAGCACGTTGATAGCATTTGGAAATATGGGTCTTACTTTCAGGTATGTTTCCATGCATGTCTAAAGCCTGACATTTGCTTTCTCTTTCTCTTTCTTTTCTTCTTCTAGGGAAAGACCATGGACAAAAGTGAGCTGGTACAGAAAGCCAAACTCGCTGAACAGGCTGAGCGCTATGATGATATGGCTGCAGCCATGAAGGCAGTCACAGAACAGGGGCATGAACTCTCCAATGAAGAGAGAAATCTGCTCTCTGTTGCCTATAAGAATGTGGTAGGTGCCCGCCGCTCCTCCTGGCGTGTCATCTCCAGCATTGAGCAGAAAACAGAGAGGAATGAAAAGAAGCAACAGATGGGCAAAGAGTACCGGGAGAAGATAGAGGCAGAACTGCAGGACATCTGCAATGACGTTCTGGTGAGGGACCAGCGCTTCTGCTTCAAACTGATCTCTTAAGTAGGATTAATTTAATGTCCAAATGCAAACTCTCAAACAACTACAAGAGAGAGGTGTCTGAATTTACTAGAAACTGCAAGCCATTTGCTACTCATTTTTAGGCATGTGATAATGATTTTTTTTTCCCACTCACTTTTACTTGATCAGAGGTTGTTCATCACTTCTGAAGTATTTTCCTTTCCTATCAAAATGACCTGTGAAAAACAGAACATTTGGTCAACAACCCTCCATCTTTTCTTTAGAAATTGAGGCCAGATAGACAGGATCTTAGATTGGCGCAGCCACAGGTAGGCTGTTCTCTTATTAGTCTGAGTAGTGATGTTATGTCCAGTAGGGAAAACAGGACCAAAGGACTGAGGTATCTTTTAGGCTTTTTCCAGTCTTGCCTTTGCAATGTAGAGTACTGGTTTTGTCTGAAGGTTAGGACATCTCTGTCAAGTGTAGCATGCATTCCAAAGCCAAATCACAGGTGGTTTGGAGCTTCTCCTCTCCTGTATTTTATGTAAACTCTAGTAAGATGATTGATTCCCTCTAGTTACAGTTTGGGATTGGATGGGAGGGATGCATATCCTAGAGCAAATCATGATCATACTGACTTTCCCTCACACCCTGAGCCCACTGGGAACTTTTTTTTTCTTCCAGGTGAAATCAGGTAAAAATGAGGGCTGCTTTGAAGGGAAAAGGAATTCACACTTGTTGATCTACCTCCTCCCCTGCTGGCTGCCTCTCCGAGTTCCTACCCTTGACACCTTTCTTTTGAAAACCAGTACAAAGCTTGTCAGCCATCAGGCAGTACTCCTCATCCCTAACCTATAAGGAATTACACCCTGTCTGTATGCAAAGAATATTAAAATGACTACTGCCCCTTGCATCCTCGTACTTTGATTAAATCCCTTCCAGCTGAGCTTTGCATTGAGCTTCTCATTTATTAGACTCATGGTGGAAGATAAAAGCGTCATGGCTAAACTTGCTGCCTGTTGATCATTTGGGGGTTTGTTAATGGTGCACTAATTCCTAAATGTTAGGTACATCTGGTATTCAGATGAAGTATGGCATGCATTCCAAGGGCAAGAAAGTTCGATAGTTCCTGAAATGTAGACCAGCTTTTAAAAGCATCTGAAAGAATGTGAAGAAGAGCATGGTACTTACTGCCTCTTAACCAGTTTTTCAGGATGCCACATTCTAAAACAACTCTTCGAAAATATTGCTCTGTATACGAAGCTTGGACTCCTTCAGAACTACTTTTGTTGTAAGCATAAATGTTTAAAGGAATTTATTATTAATAATAGTACTAGACTCTGAGTGCTTACTATGTGCCAGGCAACGTGTTAAGCACTTTATGTGTACATAAGCTTACTTGTCCTCATTGCTACCCTAGAAAGTGATGTTGTGGCCCACATTATACAGGGAAACTGAGATTTGGGGTGATAGGCAGTCTGTGTAGGGTCATATGGATATAGACAGAAAGCAGCTGAAGAGGTGTCTCTTCCCAGGTCAGATTGACTCTAAACTTAATTCTTGGCAGTGTTCTCTGTTACTACTTTTTCCTCACATACTGGAAAGATTTTTTTGTCTTCTAATTACAGAAGTAATACAAGTTTATATGTGTGTATTTTTTTAAAGGACAGAGGCAGAAAAGTATAAAGCAAACAGCACTTCCAATCTTACCTCCCAGAGAATCATTATTCACATAATCCTAGGCTTTCCCCCTGTGTATTATGTATACATTTTTAATATTAAAAATATATAATTGATTTTTTCACTCATTTAAGAGCCTTTCCATGTTATAAGTGTAGTTCTGCATCCATTATAATACATAGCATTCCGTTATAATGAGTATATCTTAATTTATCATGTATGGATGATCAGGGTGACTTGTAACTGAAGAATACAGGCATCTGCTCTTATACCTGGGCCAAAGAACATTTAGAGGCTTGGATGAAAACAATTTTTTTAATCTTCAAAAAAATTGACAGTGGTAGTATATATCTTGAATTGCAAACATAATTTTAACATCTTGTAAACAATTAAAATTTTTTAACAATATGAATCATTTTTTAGGAGCTGTTGGACAAATATCTTATTCCTAATGCTACACAACCAGAAAGTAAGGTATTCTACTTGAAAATGAAAGGAGATTATTTTAGGTATCTTTCTGAGGTGGCATCTGGAGATAATAAACAAAGTAAGTAACATTTTAAAAAATTTGACCAACTGTGGAGTTAGTCTTCTTTTATAACGATTTTTGATAGTTTTTTACTTTCTTCACCATAGACACTAACATCATAGTAAAAAGAATTTAAAAGGCCACAGCGCTGTGGTGAACTGGATCATTGGAGATGACAAAATACATCTAAGGGGCCACTGTAGAGGGCATTAAAAGTCTGCTATGTAGTGCATTTAAAGAGCTCTTTATCTTGGGGATTTTGATGGCTCTTTTTTTTAGAGGCAAAACTTTAAACTATAGTAGCCCACCCTTATCCATGGTTTTGTTTTCCCCAATTTCAATTACTGAAGGTTAGCTACAGTCTGAAAATACTAAATGGAAAATTCCAAAAAAGTCATAAGTTTTAAAGTACACACTCTTCTGGGTGATGGGGTGAACTATTGTGCCATCCTTCTCAGGAAGAGAATCATCCCTTTATTCCAAGTATCAACCCTGTATGTGCTGTCTGCATATTGATCACTTAGTTGCTGTTTGGTTATCAGATTGACTTGTACTATGGCAATGCTTTTTTGTTTAAGTAACATTTTACTTAATGATTCCAAAGTGCAACCTTCTATTACAGAGTACTGTTACAATTGTCGTTTTATTATTAGTTACTGTTAATTTGCTACTTTGTTAACTTGTAAATTAAACTTTATCATAAGTATATATGAAAGCACCTATATAGGTTTCAGGCATCCACTAGTGGTCTTGGAACATAAACCCCACAGATAAGAGAGACCTTATTTGTATTTGGTAGTATGAAACCATCATAGTGATACATTTCTTTCATCACATGGATTTATTGTGATGGTGATTTTAGTTACGCTTTATTAGGTGCCTACTGTGTGCCAAGTACTTTGGAGTCTCCATAAGTTTAGGTGGGAGTCTCCCATTTTTCTAATAAAGGAAACCAACTCTTATGTGTGTGGAGGTTTTTACTTGCTCCACAGCCACTTACCTAGTGAATAATAGCTGAGAATTCAGCTGGGTCCTGGTGGCTCACACCTGTAATCCTACTTGGGAGGCTGAGATTGGGAGGATCAAGGTTCAAGGCCAGCCCAGGCAAATAACCAGAGCAAAATGAACTGGAGGTATGCCTCAGGCTGTAGAGCACTTGCTTTGCAAGTGGAAGCCCTGACTTCAGACTCCAAAAAAAAAAATTGGAATTTAAGTTTGGGTGTGCCAACTCTAAAACCCATTATCTTTAGACTACAGCATACAGCTTTCCACATTCTATCTTGTTAAAGGTGTGTGTTTCTTAGCTGCTTTAGTAGACTCAGTCGTAATTGTCTGTTTTCCCCATTTCATATGATATGTGGCTTAGAATAAACATTGAACAAATATGTGATTGAATGGTGGTGACACTAATGCCTCATTCTGATGGATCATTTGCTTTGGTCCAGTTTGCTAAAGTAATTTGATAGGGGATCCAGTGTGTGATGCAACATGTGAAAGAAGCTAGCCTTATTTTTCATATTTCTTCCAGCCACTGTGTCGAACTCCCAGCAGGCTTACCAGGAAGCGTTTGAAATTAGTAAGAAAGAAATGCAGCCTACACACCCAATTCGACTTGGCCTAGCACTGAATTTCTCAGTCTTCTACTATGAGATTCTAAACTCTCCTGAAAAGGCCTGCAGCCTGGCAAAGACGGTGAGAAGGACCTTCAGTGATTTCTAATCATGGAAAATAGCAAAACAGTGTGTGTTCTTTCTAATAACTTCTTTTTATTTCTTAACATTGTCACTCTCTTGTACTTTCTAAGGACTTTCTAGGAAGTACATCTTATGAAATATAGACCAGTGCTTTGTGATTTCTTCTTAACCTGCTGATTTTTGTTTCATTTGATTACTGTTTTGGTGGATGATTGCACACAATTCCAAGTGAAGGTGGTAGTTGTTCCTCATCAAGCTTTGAGCATTGGTTGTATATTGCTATCTCTGTACCCAGATAGCAGGTTATGGCTGTGCATAAGATAGAAATCAGACATTTTTTTTGTATATACTGTATTACTGCCTATCTTTTTTTGACCTTTCAACATACACACTGTTTAAAATTTTTTAAATGAGCCTTTGGGAATTTAAAATAATCATGTGAATTTGCCTAGAATAAATGTGCTAGAGTTAGCAGTAGTACTGCTTAATTATTAGGTAACGCTGACTTCTGATGTAGGAATTGTTTCAGCATTGCTGGTTGGTGCTTTGTAAACATGCATTATATATTTTTTTGAAACACCTAGCAAACAATGTAATAATAACCTAAGTTCTTTCAAAATACTATAATAGACAAAATAAATCAACTGATTAGCCGGAAAAATAAGCTAAACTAGCTCAGAGAACTTATAGATTCTTTGCTAAAGGCTCTTTCTTTATTTTAGGCATTTGATGAAGCAATTGCTGAATTGGATACACTGAATGAAGAGTCTTACAAAGACAGCACCCTGATCATGCAGTTACTTAGGGACAATCTCACTGTAAGTACTCCTGGAGTTTGGTTTTTTGACTGTTTGCTATTCACCTATTTAATTCATTGGTAGCCAAGATTTAAGAGGGATTTGTACTCTATTAAATATAATTAAAATTTTAGATTGTTAGCTAGATGTAGTGGTGCACTTGTGTAACCCGGGAGGCGAGGCAGGAAGATCACCTGGAAAAATTAGCAATTCCCTACCTCAAAAACAAAGTAAAACCAGAAAGGCTAGAGCATAGTCCAAGTAGTAGAACACTTGGAGGCCTGGGTTCAATTCCCAGTACCACAGAGGATTTTTTTCTTAATTGTTAGTTTTATATGACTGTAAAGTTTTAACTTTTGCAGTAACCACTGCCTGTAGTAATACGGCAGGGATTTTACTTTATTTGGGGGGGGGGTCTTTTATTTGATCATTTGTGCATTTACTTGTATGTATATACATTGTTTGGGCCACCCCCTCCCCAGGAGTTTTAAATAGTTGAATGAGATACAATCTAGTTTGGGCCACCCCAAGGAAGATTTAGTGGCCCTAATTTATTTATTTATTATTTTTCTCTCTTGCAGCTGTGGACATCGGAAAACCAGGGAGATGAAGGAGATGCTGGGGAGGGAGAAAACTAATCTCCTTTGTGCTTTGTGATCTGCTCGGTGTCACTCTGTACCCTTCATATATATCTCTTTGTGTGATAAAAAAAAATATATATATATATATTGTATGTCGACTTTCGATTTTTCACAGCCTAAGCCTAGCAAAAATGGTCCATGGGATAAATAGTTGGTATTTGTATCTAAAACTCAGATTGGTCACATAAATGCCACGGCATTCTGAAGTTTTGATTTCAGTTAACATTGATGGGATTACTGTATGTTTAATTTTTTAAAACTGAACACTGTGATTACAGGGTTTTGTAATTTAACAGAACTCTTACTGGTATAAAAAAAATAGACCCGAATTATGCGTAATTTTTTGGAAAGTTTAACCTGATATCACAATAGTCACTGAAATATTCTGTTGTAAAGTTGTACAGAAAGTTACAGAGAATATATTGTGGTGCTGGAACTTGGAAGGAGATACCATTGGCATTGAGTTTAATGGTTTTCACAGTAATTCTGCCTGTGGTTCGGCACTTACCAACACTTAACCAGTTTGAGCTGTTGCCACTCAAAGTTCATGACCACAAATGTCTACAGTGTCTTCCTTTAAGAAAATTCAAAGCCTGAAACTGAAATTCTTTGTGGCAGGTAACTGGGCTGTTACACTGTGGAAAAGTCCCATGCTCCTATAACATGTGACTATAAGCCCCCTTTTCTCCAGCAGTATGTTACTGATTTACAACCTGTGAAAACAGAGGAATCTATTTTCCTTATTACCACTTAGCTAAAGAGGGGAGGGGGAAGCCGTGTGTTGTATGAATGGCCTTATCTGTTTCCTGGGTAATACCTTTAAGAATTATGTTGAGTTGAGATAGTCTCTTACTTGAAGAGTACTCAGTCTTTGAGGTCTTCCTAGCTTGGGGTATTTAAATTTTGAAATTTGGCATTTTTCCCTGGCCTTTTTGATAATTGACTCTGGTTTTCTCTTCCCTCTTTAAATTGATGTCCTTTTACATCCTTACATTTTTTTTCTTTGGAAGCCTCTCTTTATCCTTGGTTAACTTTTTATACTGTATGGGCAGGGGGTGAGAAATGATGAACACATTGGTGAGCAAGCCGTGCTTCAAAGAGTTGGAAAGAGTTTCCAGCACCATTGCCCTGTCTTCCTTCAGTTCTCAGCCCAGGTGTTGCTCTCCATTCAGTCATACCATGATCTGAATCAAAAAAGTATTTTTAAGTAGCCATGATTTCTCCCTGTATTGCAGCCAGCCCCGATACTGCTTGTTAGTGTGTCACCAGATCTCCTAGCACTACAGTGGAGAGAATAGTCAAGCCTATCAGTCTCACAGTATCGCCCCTCAACCTTTTGACATTCCATGTAGTTGTAGAGTCCATCTGTTTGTCCATCTGCTGAAACGAGAAAAAAAAAAGTTCATGCACTGATTTAAAACAAACCACAAAAACAAAAAAGATCCTTTCTAGCTGAACAAAAATGTGCAGTTAATACTTGGCGCTTGAAAATGCAGTAGTGAATGTGGAACCAAGCCTGTCTGTATATCTGGTAGCTCTCTGCTTTGTTTTTCCTTACCAGTATTCTGCCTAATGTTTGCTTCTGTGATGGTTATATTGCCTAGCAAGCACACCCGTGGTTGTGAAAATAGTATAGCAAAAAAAGAAAAATCCCCGGTTATTGATGTACTAGATTTGTGTATGTCTTTTAAACAGTTCTCGTTTCACCTTATACGGAATAATCAGGAAAAGTGTAAAAATTCAAAAGTGAAATAAAAAAATTTATCAGGTAGTTGGCCTGTGAATTGATGTTTCACCACTACCTCTTATTTTCAGAACTAGCTGACTATTCTGATTACACTTTTGGCTCTTGCTTTCTTTAAAAATAAGCAAACTTTACTTCATCCTTTACAATCAGAAGTCATAGTGGTAAGGGAAAGAAAATGTCATTAAACAGCTGCTTCCCACTTTTTGCAACAACCATCCAGATGTTAGTTAGGTCCCCTGTGGTTTGTAAGATTTGGTATGCAGTTACTTTGTATTGCTTTCAAGCCCTCCTCACAGTTTCTTTTGTCTTTAAACCCTGATACAACCAGGCCAGCAAGATATAACTAGGCCTTATGATTGTGTAAGTCTTGGTATGCAAGGTCTCTTGTCCTATCACTGTTTAGTTTATGATAGCCTGCAGCACTGTTTTCTTATGGGAGTCCCCTCCTCCTTCCAAAAACTTCCACACTCCTACAGTAGAGGAAGCCAGTCAGGGTACACATATAAATATCCCAAATTAGGATTGGTTGATGCTTTTCTAGAGTGAGGCCAGACAGCCAGACCACCTCCCACGCCTTGTTCTGGAGCTGTTGAGGTCACACCCACCTAAAGGTCCCAGAGTGCCTACCTACCATTGTTGCGGCAGGGAAGCCAGCAGAATCCCTAGGAGAAGCAAGATGAAGTATTGGTCTAGAGTGGACTGGAATTTTAATGGCCCCACACTGTGGGGTGCTGCTGGCTCATGCCTGTAAATTCTAGCTACTTGGGAGGCTGAGATCTTGTTTTGTGGCCAGCCCCTGTAAATAGTTCCTGAGACTCCCATCTCCAAAATAACCAGAGCAAAATGGACTGGGGGTGTGGTTCAAGCAGTAGAGTGCCTGCTTTGTAATGGGAAGCCCTGAGCCCCAACTGGCAGTGTTGCTTAGTGCCGCCTCCTTGGCCTCGCTTTGTTAGGTCCCTGCTGTTCCCCTGCAGGCTGAGTCAAGGAGCTCCCTGGTGCAGTGCAGGTGGGGTGGCTCAGTCTAGAGGAGGGAGGGGCTATACCGGGAGGAGGCCTTGGCTGTTTGACCACCAGTCTCCAGCAAGGCTTTCATGGCAGGGTTTAGTTCCCAGTCACAAAGCCACTTCCATTCTCGGTGCCAAAGGGTGGGACCGGGCCAGGCTGTTCCGAGAAAAAGCCTTTCTGGCCTTTTTTCAGGCGGCCGGAAAGAAGCAGCAGCCGCTCGACCGTCTTTCAAACAAGAAGAGGGTCCTGCTGGGAGAAAGTGGCACGGAGAAGCTCCCCAGGTACCACGGGACATCAGTGTGGGCTTAAGATGTCCGAAAAGGCCACGAGGGCGCCTACACTGCCTTCCCCGGTACCGTCTCCATCCGAGGGGGATCCTGCCCGGCGTGGTGACCGAGATGCAGAGCAGAGGCCACTGTCACCGCCGGGAGTCCTGCACCTCATCCGCAAGTACAGTCGCTTGGAGAAGTGCCACAAGAACATGTCGGTGCACCTGTCCCCTGCTTCAGGGACGTACAGATCGGCGACATCATCATGGTGAGCAAGACTGCGCTTCAACGAGCTCAAGGTCACCAAGGTCGCGGGCCCCAGAAGCAGTTCCAGAAGTTCAGAGCCTGGATGGGAGCCTGCTGCTCCCAAAACGAAATAAGCTTATTTTCCCACTTAAAAAAGATAAATAAATAAATTAGTGAAGCCTTCCTGGAGGCAGGGTTAATCCTGCACGCAAACATTGGGCCCGGGTGCCCCACTCGGAATCCTCCCATTTGTACGTGAAGCCGCCAGAAAGCAATTTCCTTTAATCCCGGACAGGACGGCGTGGTCCTCGTTTTACAGAAGAACCAAGTATGGCCTGAGCCGGAGCCCCGCGTGGGGTCCCGGCCTCCCACCCGCGATGGCTGCCGCCGCTGGCCGCGGGCCCGAGATGCCGATCACCTGCGCGCGCGGCTGGCGGCCGCAGGTGCGGCGGGGGCGGCGCCCTCGATTGCGCGGGCCTGGGGCGGTAAAGGCGCGGCGGGCGGGCTGCGGCAGGGACGGACGGGGACAGCCCACCATGAACGCCGGCGGCCAGGGCTACCCACTCGCCTCGCTCTACGTGGGCGACCTGCACCCCGACGTGACCGAGGCCATGCTCTACGAGACCTTCTCGCCTGCCGGCCCCATCCTGTCCATCCGCGTGTGCCGCGATGTGGCCACCCGGCGCTCTCTGGGCTACGCCTACATCAACTTCCAGCAGCCGGCCGACGGTGAGCCTGGCTGGGCCCGCGGGAGTGGGGCGGGACGGGTCGACGGCCAGACAGACGGCACCCGGGCATTCATCTGTCGTTTGCATCCAGGAAAACCGAAGCCCGCAGACACAGGGAGTGGGAAGGCACTCGGTCCCTGAGGGGAGAATTGGCTATTACAGCGCGGTTCACTGGTACTGCTTGGCTTTGCAGAAGACAGAGATTAAGGCCAAGTAAAAACAGCTAAGGGCTTTGGGGTCTGGCAGGCCTGGGATAGAGACCAGCAGCTGTGTGATGCTGGGCAAGTTGCTTTCTGGAGAATCGGGGTTCTTCCTTTTCTTAAGAGTTGGTTGTGGTTCCTTCCCTTGAGAGATTCAAAACACCTGGGGAGGACAAGGCCCAAGGCGACACAGCTGGAGGGTGAGGAAGCCTTGAGCTCCAGCCTTCCAGAGCAACCTGACAAGAGATCTGTAACCCGTGTCTCCACCTTCCCAAATCCTGAAAAGCTCCTCCAGGCTCCAGGCCTGGTTCCCAGGTCTCAGGATTGATTAGTGTTTTGTCAGCTGAGCACGCCTGTGCTTGTCTGTTGAGAATGAGGATAAAGGCGCAGAGCCCTGGGTTTTACTGAAGCTCTAATGCTAATCTCCCTGTCACCTCTTTATCTGCAAAATGAGGCAAAGGCTTACTCCTCAATAGCATGAAGAATGGAGAACTGGAGTCTGTGAAGTACCATTTGGTACATTGTAAGCACTCCTAATTGATAACCCAAGAAAAATAATAGTTGCTGTAACACTCCAGAAATGTAACGAAAAACACCTACCCCAGCCAGGTGTGGTGGGGCATGCCTGTAATCCCAGCACTTGGGAGGCTGAGGCAGGAGGATTGTGAATTTGAGGCCTGCCTGGACTACATAGCAACACCCTATCTCAAAAAGAAAGGCCTGTGTCAGCCAAGTCCACAAGAAGCCCCTGGGTGTACTGATAGGGTCCCTGAATTAGGGGGTTTGCAGCAAATGCTGGTGGATTACAGGGCACTTTCCCCTTCCCTCTGCTCTACCCTATCTCCTACCTTTTCCTGTTTTCCTCCTCTGCAAGCCCCATGAGTGAAGTAGGACCTGTTGGTCCAGTGCACAGATGGGAGAACAGAGAGGCAGGGACGAGTTTTGCCCCTAGCTGCTAGAACTGGACAGAGACCCCAGGCTTCCCAAGGCTTGCTCTGCTGCCCTCCCAGCCCCTTCATGCCCCTGAAACTAGCAGAGTCCCCGGAGCAGGGGACAGCATCTTCCATGGGAGGAAACAGAATGTAGCAGAAGCGAGGAGGGTGGACAGAGGTAGCTGTTCTCAGACACCCTGCCTTCCACCAAACACCTAGTGCACGTGTGGTTCAAAGTCCAAATGTGGCTCCTCGAATGCTTTGCTTTTCAATCTGCCCAGCGACCTGGAGGTAGGTGGTGTTGTCTCTGTTAGGCGTGGAAAGGAAAGAGCATCATCTCCCCCATTTACAGGTGAGGCTGAGGGCTTGGAGAGGTGGCGTTCACTTCCCCCAAGGCAAACTGCTCAGGATTGACATCAAGCCTGCTATTCAGCACCTCTGAGACTTAATTTCCTCAACTGCTGCCACCCCTAATCATAGGGACCCCCTTTTACATTCTCATCTTCTCGTACTTCAGAGGCTGGAGTAGACCTGGTCCTGCCCCTGACCTTTCTCATCTTTCTGAGCCTCAGTTTTCCAGTTCATAAAATGTGGAATCCACACTCACACAGGGTTAGAGTGAGGTCATCCTGGAAGGCGGGAGAAGCACCGTGCACATCAATTCCCTCAGTTTACCCCACCTGAGCAGCCAGGATCCTATCTCCAGTGAAACCCAGGCGATGGCTTTCTTTTGTTGGTTCCTAATTAAGCACCATGGAGGTTCAGGTTCAGAAATGCCCCCTAACCTGCTCCTTTCTCTCCTTTTCCTGTCCAGCGGAGCGGGCACTGGACACGATGAACTTTGAGGTGATCAAAGGCCAACCCATCCGAATCATGTGGTCCCATCGGGACCCAGGCCTTCGAAAGTCGGGCGTGGGTAACATCTTCATCAAAAACCTGGAGGACTCCATTGACAACAAGGCTTTGTATGATACCTTCTCCACCTTCGGGAACATCCTCTCTTGCAAGGTGGGCGTGCCTCTTTGTGGGGACTCAGTGTCAAGTACCCGTGTGGTAGAGGGATGCCAACCAACACTTCACCTTCTAGTTGGGCTTCAGGTTCAGCAAATGCTGGACCAGTAGCTGTTCTTTTAGTCTTAGCTTCATACACCTATCCGAGGTTACCTGTGTACCGGTCAGCTCGCTGTGTCACCACCCGAAGCTCATGGCTATCTAAGCCACTGTTTATTTAACTCATAACACTGCAGTTGGCCATCAGGCTTGAGCTCAGCTGGGCAGTTCTTCTGGCCTTGGCTGGATCCTTGCATCTGTACCTGGTGGGGTCCTCAGGGGACATATGTGGCAGTGGCTGACCATCAGCTGTAACAGCTGGCCTTTCCACCATGTGGTCCTCTATCCTCAGCAGGTTAGCCTGGGCCATTCTTAGGCGGTGGCAGGTCCCAGAAGACAGTGGAAGTTTACCAGGCTTCAACTCAGAACTGGGACCCCATCACTTCTACTGCATTCTATTGGCCAAAGCAAGTCAGGAGATCAGCCCACGTTCAGAGTGAGAAGGCAGGAGAACATGCAGGATAAGAAAGCCATTAATTTCTCTGCGTTGAGGGCAACAAGTGCTATCTAGTTTTTTAGGTGTCTTACGTATTCTCATCCCTCCCTTGTGGGCTCTCGCTTTATCATATGATCAAAGTCCAATCCCTTTGTTGTGTTTGCCCTTGATCTAATGTCCGCATATTCGCAGAGAAACTAAAGCAGATACTTTAAAGCAACTGAGGCCAAAAGGAGAAGGGGACCAGGAACTAGAGGAAAGGTTAGTTCAAGAAGAATTAACTTAGAAGGAAATCAATGCGAGTCAACTCCCTGTATAGCTAACCTTATCTCAACCAGCAAAAACCCTTGTTCCTTCCTATTATTGCTTCTACTCTCTCTTCAACAAAATTATAAGGGCAAAATAGTTTCTGCCAGGTAGCAAGGGGTAGGAGGGGAGAGGGAGAAGGAGGGGGTGGAGGAAGGGGGGGAAATGACCCAAACATTGTATGCACAGATGAATAAAATAAAAGTTTTTAAAAAACCCATTAATTGGGGGCACCATAGCAACCAGTAGATCGCTTTTTTTTTTTGCCACTGGGGATAGCACCTAGGGCTTTGCTCATGATGCTAAGTACACATTCTACCACTGAGTACCCCCAGGTGTGACCCCCATCTTGTTTTTAAGACTTCTCTTATGCTACATAGAGAAGTCTTGTTGTTAGTCACTGTTGTGTCCCAGTAACTAAAACAGACTTGACATGCAATGGATGCTCAATAAGTGTTTGTTGAGTGAATGGGTGTACTGTCATTTGAGAAGGGCTCTGATTGATCAGTTCTGTATGTGAGGACGTGGGGTTGCAGAGACTGTACAGCAGTCACTGTGCAGACTAGAGGGATAAAACCTGGGTGCTGTGCTTCTGGCTTTTATGAGAATGGCTGGTGGGGGAGGTACGGTGACCTCTGTGTTAGAGCTTCTCCCCAGTGCTGCTATGTGTCAGGCACAATCCCCAAGTTCTCAGTGAGGCCTTCTGCCATTCCCTGTGATTGGGGGACTGAGAGGAGCAGACTGAGCCTGAGGTACAGTGATGTGCTGATGTTTCTCTGTGACAGAGAAGCAGGGCTGTCTTCCTGAAGATCGTGGAAGACAGAGACTCCTAACTTTGGGGTCAATTTCTTATAATAACAGCAGCAGATGTGTGCAGTACATCCTGTGTGCTTGGTTTTCTGCATGTGTGACTACCCACGACTCCCCTATCCCTGTTGTCCCTTCATGTTGCCATAGGAGGATTCCCCCACTGCACAGAGGGCACAGAGGCTCAGAGAGCTGAAGTTACTTGTCCACCGTTCTGTGTTGCACAGGGGGTGGAGGGTTAGCAGGAAAGCTGGGATTTGAGCTAGTGGATTTGCCAGCTTAGCTGAAATAAGTTGAACAGGGAACAGTTTGTCCCTCCCCTTATCCAGGCCTGGAGTCCTCTGGGCCTCTGAGGATTGGACAGAAAGTTCTGTGTGACACAGACCAGTCTTTACAGGTCTGATGAGGCCCTGGTGAGGGCAGGGTAGGAATAAGGTGTACGGTGTGGTCCTGGCCTCCAGGAGCTCTTAAACTGGTTGGAGATGGTGAAACTTTTAGGAATGGCTGGAAATTGGGCTGTGAGGGAAACCATGGTGCTCGTGTCATCAGGGCTCCAGGGACAAAAGAGCCATCTGACTAGTCAGGAAGGGTGTCTGTGGCACTGCAGGGAGAGCAGGTGACACAGGTCAGTCTACATGAGTGCAAAGCACATCTGGTCAGCAGAGAGGCAACATAATGTAGTGTGTCAGACTGAGGACATTAGGGCCAGATGTCTTGGGTTCACATCCTGCCTCTTCAACTTTCTGGCAGTGTGACCTTGGGCCCAGCCATTTAACCTGCCCATACCTCAGTTTCTTTAAAAGGGTCAATGTAGAACCTACGGTGGTGTTGTGGTAAAGATGAACTGAGTTATGTACAACCCATGAAAGGGTACTCGGAGCAGCGTTAAGCAGCCAAGTAATAAATACAATAATTAGGAAATTACTGCTACTGCCTGGCTGACCATGGACAAGTCGGTGATTCGTGTTTTCCCACTGGAGCTCTGAGGTTAAGAATTACGTAGAATAGTTCTCCTGAAAAATATAACAAGATAAATATGTGATGCCCTTAGCAGGTGCTGGACCCAGAGTGGGGCCCCAGTCAACAGAGCTGAGTCTGGAAGGGCTCGGACTTGAATTGAAAGTGGAAGGACCCTGTTTGGGGCTGGAGAGGTAGAGGAGAGGGTGCTGGGCAAGGGTTTGGGCACAGGATTTGTCATGCAGGGACCACTGGAGAACCTCAAGTGCCAAGTTGACAGTTCTGTGCATAGTAGAAGCCACTGAAGGCTAAAGGGACCTAGTCAGGATTACAGAATGGAAATTGCACCCAGTGGTTAGTGTGGGGCAGGAAGGCTGGTGTGTGGTTCCAGTGATAAGTGGTGCTGTAGTCACCTTGAAAAGGGGACCAATGATCTTAGTTCAAGTTCAACAGGAAGAATGAGAGCTATTTGAACTATATCCTTTCCCTGTTCTTGAGTTGTCTTTCTGACCTGAGTTGGGAGGGTCACAGAATGAGTAGAAAGTTCTGTTAAAAATTTGAGTCAGGTACCTGTGGCTTACACCTATAAATCCTAGCTACTCAGGAGGCAGAGATCAGGAGGATCATGGTTCAAAGCCAGCCCTAGGCAAGTAGTTCACGACACCCTAACTTGAAAAAAACCTATCACAAAAAAAGGGCTGAGTGGCTCAAGTGGTAAGAGTGCCTGACTAGCAAGCGTGAGGCCTTGAGTACAAAGTCCAGTGCCACCAAAAAAAAAAAAAAAAAAAAATTGAAACGCATGTATAGGGGTGGCTCAAACTGTAGAGTGAGCACAAGGCCCCAATTTCAAACCCCAGTATCAAAAGCAAAACAAGCAAACATTAAAAAATTTTGAATTGAGTTTGTTGTTGAAATAATATGTGAACTGGTAAAATGTGAACAATGAAGAAGGGAAGAGGTAGGTCAGGTGTCAGTGCTCACACCTGTAATCCTAGCTACTCAGGAGGATCAAGGTTTGAAGCCAGCCTAGGCAAATCGTTTTTCAGACCTTATCTTGAAAAACTCGTCACAAAATAAGAAAAAAGAAAAACTTGTCACAAAAAAAGGGTTAGTAGAGTGGCTTAAAGTGTAGGCCCTGAGTTCAAACCCCAGTACTGCAGGAAAAAAGAGAAGTAAAAAATAACTGTCCTTTTAGCTCTGGTCTCCAGAAATAGGTCTGTGTGATTAACAGAACTGTTAATATTAACAGCTCTGTGTGTCTCTTTCAAAACTTCCTGTGTGTAGACTCCCACTTTACCCCACTTTACCCCAAATGGGTTTAATGTTCCCCCCCCACTTAATACTGTAATCTTACAGATTAGCTACAGAGTCTGTCACATTTTCTTCAGCTGTGCACTTACACTTGACCAGTGTGACTGTCCTGTAACTGATTTAACCAGGCTCCTCTTTTTCTGGCGGCACTGGGGACTGAACTCAGGACCTTGTGCTTGGTAGACAAGCACTTTACCACTTGAGCCACACCCCCAGTCCCCAACCAGGCTCCTCTTGATGGACGGAGGCTTAGGCTGTTTCTAGCTTACTGTTAGAACCAGGACACAGCTCCGGGGGTTTGAAGTGATCCTTTGCTCATCATTTTGGAAGACAAAGCTGGTCTGTGGTGCTTATTCTGAGGGGCTCCTCTCCCTCTTTACTTTGTGATGTGAAGTGAGTGGATCTCTCTCAACTTCAATTTTCCATCTCTAAAATGGGACCACTGTGTGACGTAGCACGTGGTGTGTGCACGCTGGGCAAGGGATCTAACATGACCTCCACGCCAGTCCCCGTGGAATCGTCTTTACATGCGCATAGCAAGCAGGCAGGTACTGGTCCTTCTCACCTTTGCCATCCTTTTCTCCTTGACCCCCACTGGACATTCTCTCTTCCGATCTCCCCATGGCACAGGTGGTGTGTAATGAGCAGGGCTCCCGGGGCTTCGGCTTCGTGCATTTTGAGACCCACGAGGCCGCGCAGCAGGCCATCAGCACCATGAATGGAATGCTGCTCAATGATCGCAAAGTGTGAGTGGTGGGCTGGGGAGGGGCTGGGGCTTATGGCACCGCCAATTAAGAATGGTATTCAGCCAGGTGCCTGGTGGCTCACACCTGCCATCCAGGGTAAATAGTTCGAGAGACCCCCGTCTTCAAAGTAACCAGAGCAAAGTGGACTGGAGGTGTGGCTCAAGATGCCTGCTTTGCAAGGCCTGTCATCCCAGCTACTTGGGAAGCATAAATAGGATCTCAGTCCAGGCTGGCCTTAGGCATAAATCAAGAACCTATTTAAAAAATAACTAACGCAAAAAGGGCTGGGTCTGTGGTAGAATGCCTGCCTCGAAAGCTTGATGCCCTGAGTTCAAACCTCAGTGTCCCACTGCCAAAAAAAAAAAAAAAAAAAGTTGCTTTCTTAGATATGTGAACTTGGAAATTTTCATTTTTAAAATTAATGTCATATTTAAGTGATTTCAGTCCCTCCCCTAGAGCAACACTGGCATTGACTGTGTCTGAGTCAATCAGACCAGGGTACCCAGCATATTTTAAATGAATAAGCAAAGTCTGCTGGCATGACTTTGATCCCAGTTTTACAGGAATGAACACTGAAGCTCAGAGAGGTTAAGTAACTTGCCCAGGATCACACAATAAGGCAACTACAGAGTGAGGATTCACACTGTGGCCTGAATCCCAAGTTCATGCTCTTATCTCCTGTGGTCTTTGCTGCCTGCTATATGGTAGCAGTTCTGTGTGCAGTTGTCACAAGAATGAAGTTTTCTGAACCTTATCGGAGGGACAAGCTCTGGAACAGAGCCTTTTGGCTGTTAGAGGTAGCTGGACCCAGTCTGTGGAATATGGTTCTGCCCAGTCTCCCAAATGAGGGATACAGAGGCCGGAGAAGGACAGTCATTGGCCCAAGTGGTCCAGGGCTGCTGGGTGGGCCCTGGTGGGGATGGAGGGGGTGCTGAGGACTGGCACTGTCCACCCTGTTGGTGTGCCCACAGCTACGTTGGTCACTTCAAGTCTCGCCGGGAACGGGAGGCGGAGCTGGGGGCTCGGGCCCTGGAGTTCACCAACATCTACGTGAAGAGCCTCCACGCGGACATGGACGAGCAGGGCCTGCAGGACCTCTTCTCCCAGTTTGGTGGGCATGGTCCCCAAGGGAGGAGGGGATCTTACTGCTCTTCTCCCTTAGCCCAGCCCTGCTAGGGCTTCCCCGGGGGCTTTGGGAAGGGGAAGACATCTGGGGCTTCCCCAACATGCTGAGTAGATTGGTCCTTCCAGGAAAGACACTGAGCGTGAAGGTGATGAGGGACAGCAGTGGCCGATCCAGGGGCTTTGGCTTTGTCAACTTTGAGAAGCATGAGGAAGCTCAGAAGGTAGGCACCTTACCATGGCTCTGTCCAAGGAGGCAGCATGGAGCCAGGAAGAAGGGCACTCAGGTGTGAGCCTCCGGCTGCTCACGGAGGGAAGGAAAGTCCCCCTCATCCTGGGCTAAGAAGGGCAGGCGAGTCCCACACAGGGAGGGCCCTTCCAGCTCATGATGCAAAGGTTAAAGATTTCATCCTTCTTGCTTGCTTCTAAGTCTTGCGGTTCGAAGCACTGAATGTTTAGGCAGGGAAGCAAAAGTCGTCATATGTGTAAATATTCACTAATGACCTGACCACTGAAAAACTCAGTTCCCCTTCAAACACTTCTAACACCAGTGTAAAATCCTAATCACTGAGTCAGGATACACTTGAGTCTAACTTCTGATTTTTGTGGATACGCCAATGAAAACTCAGTTCAACATAAATGGGTTACAGAGAGAAGGTGCCCATCCTGCAGAAGATGCAGACGTTACTGCGGCAAACTTCAGATCTAGCAGGCTTAGGTCAGTTAGCTGAAGAGGAGAAAAGTCAACCAGGGTTAATACACAAATGTCTCTAAATGAAAGCCTTCAGGGTTAGCAAAATTCTACATGAAGTGGGTGATGTTGTGTTTATGGTATCTTTTTTTTTTTTTGGTGTTACTGGGAGTTGAACTCAGGGACTTGCACTTGCTAGATTGGCGCTCTACCATTTGAGCCACTCTGCCAGCCCAACTGTCATGTCATTATGAGAGAATTATTCTTGCTACTTTGTTCAAATTATCAGTGTGTAGTTGCAGTAAGAACCTAAATAACCTAAATTTAAGTTCTTTTGTAATAGACTTCATTTTTCAGAGCAGTATGGGCTCATGGCAAAATTGAGGTGAAGCTGGAAGCTGGTGCCTCATGTCTGTAATCTTAGCTACTCAGGAGGCAGAGATTAGGAGGACTCGGTTTGAAGCCAACCTAGACAAAGAGTTTGTAAGACCCTATTTCGAAAACACCCTTCACAAAAAAGGGCTGGCAGAGTGGCTCAAGTGGTAGAGTGCCTGCCTAGCAAGCGTGAGGCCCTGAGTGCAAACCCCAGTACTGCCAAAAATTGAGCTGGATGCCGGTGGCTCACGCCTATAATGCTAACTATTCAGGAGGCAGAGATCAGGAAGATCGCAGTTCAAAGCCAGTTCTGCGAGCCCCTATCTTGAGAAAAAAACCTTCACAAAAAAAAGGGCTGGTGGAGTGGCTCAAGGTGTAGGCTTTCAGTTCAAGCCCCAGTACTGCAAAAAAAAAAAAAAAAAAAGAAAAAAAAAAGAGATAAAGGCGTATGTTCTCCCCCACTTTGTCTCCCACCAGGGTGGTATGCTTGATAGACTGATGAATCTACTTTGACACGTCCTATCACCCAGGGTCCACCGCTTACACTAGGGGTCACACTTGGTATTACACACTTTGTGGGTTTGACATGTAGCCACCATATGCAATATGGCATCAGACAGAGTATTTCTGCTCCCCTAAAAGCCTGTCTGTCCATCCTTTCCTGCCCTCTAACCCGTCACCACCCCTGATCTTTTTATTGACTTCTTGGTTCTGCCTTTTCTAGAATCATAGTTGGAGTTAATAGAGTTTTTAGCTTTTATAGATTGGCTTCTTTCACTGACTAACATGCATTTAATGTATGAGAATACTTTAATGTATTTAAAATACTCAAATTTTAAATATGGGAAACTGAATTTCAGGGGTTTTTTTGGTGAGACTGGGATTTGAACTCAGGGCTTTGAGCTCACAAAGTAGGCACTTTACTGCTTGAGCCACACCTCCAGTCCATTTTGCTCTAGTAACTTTGGGTATGGGGGTGGGGGGGCTCGTGAGTTGTTTCCTTGGGCTGGTCTTGAACTGTGATCCTCCTGATCTCAGCTGCCTAAGTACCTAGGATTACAGGCGTGAGCCACCAAGGCCTGGCTTCTTTTTTCTTTTCTTTTCTTTTTTTTTTTTAAATAGAGCAGGTCCCAATCCCCAAAATGAAAAGTCTGCAGTTTACTTGGGAATTTTGCTTCATGGTTTAAAAAAAGCAGTTGTGCTTTAGATGAGCTTTTATCTTGGTACCGATTATTCTCAGCTGGCAAAGCCAGCCTGGTTTGTAGGCGACCCCTCCAGACGCAGAAGGCAGGACTGGAGACCAGAGCGAGGATCAGGGCTGTATCTGCATGGTTCTGAATGGTTACACGCATTCTCCCCTCCCCTCCTTAGGCTGTGGACCAAATGAATGGGAAGGAGGTGAGTGGGCGGCTGCTGTACGTGGGCCGGGCCCAGAAGCGGGCAGAGAGGCAGAATGAGCTGAAGCGCAGGTTCGAACAGATGAAGCAGGACCGGCAGAACCGCTACCAGGTGAGGCCTGGCCTCCTGATGGCCACTGCTTCTACCTGAAAGTGGTTGCCATGAATGTGACTCCTTCCTCTAGCCATGCTACTTGTAGGAACTAAGCTGGGGCAAGAATCAGATGAGCATTGGGGTGGTGGCTTGTAACAGTGGAGAAATGGGACACGGCCCAACCATAGGTCAGGTGTTGACCTCTTAGAAAATACCTTTGTGTAGGTTCTGTCCCACTGTACCCTCCAGTCATGAACAACCAAAACATCTCCAAATGCCCCCAGAGGAAATCCTGCTCCAGGCTGAACATAATCGGGCCAAATATCTTAATCCAAAAGTTGGAATGTTGTGCAGCCATTAAAATTATATTAAAATTGTAGATCAGGACAATGTAACTTTCTGTGGGAAATGAACCTCTAAATGTTAAGAGTTGTAGATCCCTCCTGGAGAGGTGTAAACCTCCACTCCCACACATCATACTCAGTAGCTCTTAATGAGAGGCAGTTGTCCCCCACTCCAGGGGCTTTTGGCACTGTCTAGAATTTTCAATTGCCACGTTTTGGGGGGAGGGTGCCCCTGGCATCTACTGGAAGCAGCAGTTGTCACTCAGTGGCACAGCTCAGGCTCTGAGGTTAGGCTCCCTGGGTGAGTCCTGACTCTGCCACTTAGGGGGATGTGATCTGGAGCAGTGTACTTGACCTGTTCTTCGGTTTTGACATCTGTAAGATGGAAATTAAAGCTTCCTTTTCTTAGGGTTATTGTGAGGATTAAAAATTAAAATGAGTAAAGGGCTTAGAGCAGTGCCTAGCACCAGACGAGTAATGTGCCAGGGTTCTGAGCTGGCAAGGTGATGGACTGGCAGGCGGCCCGTCTTATGCTCTGTGACCAGTCTGGAGCTGGCCTGTGAGGGACTCTGCCTGTGGAGAGCTACATTCTGGCTGAGCTCTGAGCTGAGCCTGCTGCAGGTCTCAGGTCTCTCTCTATGGCTCCCATCTGTGAAATGGGTACAGGCTGTGGGGACTGGGACCTGTGCAAGTATGAGATCTGCTCAGGGTTCCAGGGGACTGACACGCCGAGTGATTGGGATGATGGACTGCCATGGGAGAGTGAGAGCAGGAGGCAGCCATCATCCTCCCTCATGCTGGGCTTGAGGGAAGAGGCACTGAGTAGCACCCTCCTCCAGGGCGTGAACCTGTATGTGAAGAACCTGGATGACTCCATCAACGATGAGAAGCTGAGGAAAGTGTTTTCTCCCTACGGAGTGATTACCAGTGCAAAGGTGAGGGCCACACATCTGGGGCAGCCTTCCCTTCATCCTCTCACCGCCCCCACCATAGGCCCCAGTCTCTCCCCTGGCTTCTGGGGAAGCTGAGTTCCCATTTGGGGCACTCTTACCCCCTTGGAGCTTGCAGTCCATCTACAGCCTTATCTGGGTTGGTGGGGAACAAAGTAGACATGTAGTCCAGTCATACAGCTGGACTTGAAGCACAGTATAACCTTGGTTCATTCAACAATCATTTATTGAGTGCCTACTGCATGCCAGATTCCAGAAATTTGTGCCTTGTATTTCTGTGAACTTTTGTTACCTGGCATTGGCCAGTGATATAACCGTCTAGACTGCAGTTTCCCCATCAGGAAAATGAGAGTTGGGCTATATCACTCTTCACTGATTCTTCATTGAGCACCAGCTGTGTGCCCAACCCTGTGAGTTACCTGAGATGTGACAACTGCCATTCTACTCAATAGCTCTGACCTTGAAGTAGTTTTAGCTTAGCTTCTGAGCCTCATCTGTAGGGTGAGGGCGTTGGGCTCACTGTGTAGTCCCCAGCCCTGGCTTCTCACTAGAACTGCCTGGGGAGTTCTTAAATGTGAACACTTGGGTTAGACAAACTGAGTGGGGGTAGGGCCTGGGCATTTTATTTTTAAAACCTCCCAGATGATTTTAAGATGACCCACTATTCATTCCATAACCACACTCTGTGGGGAGCACACAGGAACAAGTCAGATTGGGCTCTGCCTTTGAGGGATCTATGGTCTAGTGAAGAGGTCAGATGTATGGCTAACTCAACATATTATAAGATGTATTGGAGGCAGAACTGGAACAGGAAGAAGGGCTTCTTGGAGGAAGTGGCAGTGGTGCTAAAAAGGTTCACTTCCCAAAGAAAGTTATACTGTACTGATCTACAATACTTAATTTACTTTTTTTGGTAGCACTGGGGTTTGAACTCAGGGCCTCATGCCTGCTAGGCACGTACTCTTACTGCTTGAGCCATTCCGCAAGCCCAACTTAATATAGTTTTAATGTCTGCACAACACTCCAATTTTTAGATGTAAGATATTTGGCCTAATTATTCTCAGTCTGGAGTGAGATTTCCTCTAGGCACTTTGGTTGTTCATGCCTGGAGGACGAGATGGGTACAGGTACTACACAAAGGATTATTCTAAGTTGTAATGTTTCTTAGCTGTAGGACCTAAAGCAAGTGCCTGATTGCTTTTACCCACTTGTGAAATGGAAGCAGCCTCACTGCCTCTGGGGACGGCCTTAGCAGCACTCAGGGACTGTGTACCACAGCAGCGGAATGGTGATTCCTGTGACTATTCACCCATGTTGTGTATAATTTCAGAAGATCCATTGACCTTGAGAATTCCTTGAATGAAGGGAATATATAAATCTGGATTGCTCAGGGTTGAGGCATACCTGGGGAGATAAATCATCTTTTTGTAGACCAAACAAGTTGAGATTTTATGCAATTTTTTACACATTTTCTATTTTATAAAATAGTGATTGTGAAAATTAAATGAGTTAAGGCATATAAATGAAATACGTATATCAAGTTCATAGCAAGTTTTGACTAGGTGTTAGCTACACTAGTTTTATCATTACTTTTAAACTGCTTACTAATAGAAGTTCTTAACAATATTCTTGCATCAGGACTCTGGTCCTAGTGAGCCTGTGGACCCCTTTTAAGAGTATTTTTAAATGGACAGTGCAAAATTTATAGAATCATTTAAAAAACTATAGTTACCACTACCAAAATTCTGAAGTGACAGCAGTAATGTGCATTAAACTGAGATCTATCAAAGTAGCAATTAGCATAAATGATATTTTGAGATGAACATATGACATGAAAATATTTGTCTTCATGACAGTCATAGGCATGGCTGATCCTGTATTTTTTGTTGTTGTTATTGTTGCCCATCTTCATAATAGAAGAGATAGCTAATGTAAAAAATGTCAATTTTGCCCATCCAAGTTCTTAATTCTAAAAACGACCATCTGTGGACCTTCAGCTGTATGAGGGGTTGAGGGTTTACTGTTTTTGAGACTTGCTGAGTTAGAGCATGGGCTCTGATGGGGCAACTGTGAAAAAGAGCTCCTTACAGAGTATGTGAGCCAGGTCCGTCTCAAACCTAAAAAATGGTAAGAATGCAACGTAGTTGATCCTCAAAAAGGAAAAAGGCTATTAGTTCAAAAGGTGAAATCCGAATGAAGTCTGGAGTTCAGAGAGCACTGTAGTTAATAGGAGCGGATAAGTGTAATGGTTAGTGGCATCGCATCACAGTAAATGTAGTTTTGACAAACGTGACATGCTAACCTTAGGGCAGGCTGAGTGAGATACCCAGCAACACCTCTGTAACTTTCCTGTAAGTCTAAAGTTACTCCAAAAGAATAAAGACTGAGAATGTCTTTCGAAAACTCAAGAACCGGTCCTGTGCCTTGCAGATGCAATAGAGGTTGAGCTCAGGCTGTGTGCATGAGCTATCAGCTAGGTGGCCTTGGACAAGTCACTCTTGCATGTTCCTTTCCTCCCTGTGAAGTGGGAGACACTGGACCTCCCCATGCGGAGGCTGTGTGGGGGTCAGGAAGGCATGTGAAGTGTCTGGCACACAGTAGGCCTCAGTAAATGTGGGATGGATGGCTCCTCCCTCCATCACAGGTTTCTTGAGAGGCCTGCCAGGTGCTGGGTGCGGCCCCAAGGGAGGAGGGGAGCACAACCCGGGAGTGTCCCTTCTCCACCCCCAGCAACCCTTGTCTTGTCTTGCTTTTAGGTGATGACAGAGGGTAGCCACAGCAAGGGGTTTGGCTTTGTGTGTTTTTCCTCTCCAGAAGAAGCGACAAAGGCTGTGACAGAGATGAATGGGCGCATTGTGGGCACCAAGCCACTGTATGTGGCGCTGGCCCAGCGCAAAGAGGAGCGGAAGGCCATCTTGACCAACCAGTACATGCAGCGCCTCTCCACGGTGCAGGCCCTGGACCACCCCCTCCTGGGCTCCTTCCAGCAGCCCACCAGCTACTTTCTGCCTGCTGTGCCTCAGGTGAGTCTATCCACAGCTCCCACCATTCCCCTTCCCCATGATAGCTAGGTAAAGCTGGGAAATAGAGCCTCACAGGCAAATGTAGGTTCTGCTGGAAACTCACCAGGCAGGGTGTTCTGAGGCCTAAGTCTTATGTTCCTCATCACTAAAGGGGGTAATACTGCCATCAAACAGCATCTCCCAGTCTGAGCGAGATTCCTGTGGTCAAGTAAGTTTAGGAGACATGGCATAAAACAGAAGTAGTCTAAATTTCTTTACTGTATTTGTTGTCCAAATAGGCACAGAGTATGTACCACTTCCCCAGCTTGGATGGTGGGTTTTTTGTGGGATGCCTGTTAACACTTCACCTGGCTGTTAATGTTCTGAGGAGCATGGTTTGAGAAAGAACCTTACAGGAAGCAGAAAGATGGAAATTATTGAAGGCTACCAGGTTGGCCACTCTCCCTCCCCTTTTAGCAGCTGCTTCAGCTGGCACAAACTGGTACAATGTGACTTTTTAAAAATCTAAATCACTGGGCTAGACCTGCTAAGGAGCAAGGTTTGTATCTGAAGTCTTGCCCTGAGAGGGGTTCAGGGCTAAAGGACCTCCTGAGATGGGAGGAGCCCTTCCTGCTAACTTTGTGGGCCTTTACTATAACCTGTCCCCTGGAGGGGACTGCAGTGCTTATAATGGTGTCCCTTGGGGGATGCAGTTTCTCTCCCGCCCTGATGCAAAGCTCCTCACTCTAGGTCCTCTTCTTCCACACAGCCTCCAGCCCAGGCTGCGTACTATGACTCTGGCTCCATAGCTCCTATCCAGCCTGCCCCCAGGTGGACGGCCCAGCCGCACAGACCTCCGTGTGAGTGAGCCAGCCTCTGCCACTCTCAGCCTGGCTTGTGGGCCCCAAGTAGCAGTGTATAACACAGGGATCAAGCTTGGCTCTGCCATTTCCCTGGATTGATCACTTTGCCTCTCTGGGCCTCAGTTTCCTCTTCTGAACTTGGGCCTGAATGTGACATGCATAAAGCACCAAACATTGCAGAGAGCTTGTAAAAGTCATGCAGTGTGGCCATTATCAGTTGTCCCAAAGACTTCTCTGATTTATAGCTAAAAACTCTTGCAAATCTGAGAAAATGAAATTCCTCTGCCTGTATTGTTGATGAATGGCCTAAGAGCCAAGTTCACAGCCACTTAAAACTCTTGGGACTAATGTGAATGAATGGCCAGGGTATTTATGCATCTCAGAGCTCTGGGTAGACATGAATTGGCTGTCACTGCAGATTCACATAACCCCTCTCTGGGCTTCTGGGTCTAGGCGAATTTACTCATCTTTCTACTATGAATTTTTAGTTTCCCTCCTCTTGTAACCACCATGGCACAGTGTACCATTTTGTTTATCCCACATCCCCCAAACCTTCTCTCTCCATTTATCTCTGTGCCACAAGCCATCTACCCTCCAGCTGCCTCAGTGGTCCGGCCACCAGGCTTGCCCCGGCGCCCACGGGCCCACGTCAGCAGTGCCAGGCAGGCTTCTATCCATGTGCCACGCCCAGTTTCCCACACCCAGACAGTGGGTGAGTGTGGGTGGGGCCGAGAGGAAATGGGGGTGTGAGGAGGGTGAAGCAAGATCTCGATGTTGGGGTTGGCCCTGGAGGGGAGTTAGGACGGTCTCCACAGTGATCTCTTGGTAAGTCAGGTCGGCTTTGGAGGCTGTGTGTGTAGTGTGGAAGTTAGCTTGGCCTCCAGTTTCTGGAACTCACTCTGTGGCCCTTGCTGACTGCTGTCTCTGGTCATCTAATCTTTAAAGTAAGGACAAAAATAATATGCACATTTTGTTGTCAGGATTAGTGATTTCACACATGCAATGACCTGAGCCTTAGTACTGCAGCCACTGGTAACGAGGATGTAGGCTTTGGCTGTAAGGCAAGCACATCTGTTTCTTCATTCAACAGATATTCTCCCATTTGTGTGCTGGCTCTGTGCCCCGCACTGGGGATTCTGCATGAACCAGTGGAGTCAGTCAGCTGGCCTTAGGTTGTTGCCAGACCCTGACACCCATGCTAATTATTTTATTTTTAATGGGTAAGTGTGCAGTTGAGTGGTACTCAGTGCACTCACATTGTTGAGTGTGAATTGTACCTATCACCATCCATCTCTAGAACTTTCTGTCTTGCAGAACTGAAATTCTGAACCCATTAAACAGTAACTCATTTCCCCCTACCTCAAGCCCCTGGCAACCACCATTCCTTGTCCTTAAATTTGACTACATTAGTTATGTAAGTGGAATCACAGTGTTTGTCCTTCTGAGAGTTGCTTATTTCACTTAGCACAATATGCTTAAGATTCAGTTATACTGTAGCTTGTCAGAATTTTTCCTTTTTAAGGCTGAATAATAATCCATTGTACATATACCACATTTTGTTTATCCACATCTCATTGGACACTTAGGTTGCTTCAAGGCTATTGTGACTATTGTTTCTATGAACACGGGTGTATAATTGTCTCTTTGAAATCCTGTTTTCAATTCTTTTGAGTACGTATCCAGAAATGGAATTGCTAAATGACATGGCAATTCTTTTTTTGGTACTGGGAATTGAAGTCAGGGCCTCATGCTTGCTAGGCAAGTGCTCTACCACTTGAGCCACACCTTCAGCCATTTTTGTTCTGGTTACTTTTGAGATAAGGTTTTGCTTTATGTCTAAGCTTTGATCCTCCTATTTGTGCTTTCCTGTACAGCTGGGGATCACAGGGGTGTGCCATCTTCCCCAGTCATTGGTTGAGATAGTGTCTGGTGAACTTTTTGCCCAGGCTAGCCTTGAACTGCAGTCCTCCAATCTCTGCCTCCCAAGTTGCTAGCATTACAGATTTGAGCCACGACACCTGGCATATCTTTAATTTTTTAAGGAACTCTCATACTGTTTTTCTATAGTAGCTATACATATACAACTGTTCCAGTTTCTTCATGTCTTAACCAAAACTTGTAATTTTGTTTTTGTTTTCATAGTAGTCATTTGAACCCTGCTTACTTTTATAGCAAACATTGGTACCCAGACTACAAGACCCAGTGGGGCAGGATGCTCTACACCAGGCCAGCCTTTCCTGCCACACAAATGTTCCTCAGCTGTACACAATGCCCATGGGGTAAGGCCACCTGCTTACTCTGGCTCTGGGAGTCCTGGCTCAAAGCCTTGGCTCAGGTGTTGGCTTTCTGAGCCTTGCTTTCATTTTCTTGGCTTGTAAAGTTGCATTTACTAACGTGTGTAGTCAATAAGAGATCCCCCTTACTAAAAGAAAGGGAAAGAAGGCCAGGATCATATTTTGTTTACTAATCACTATTTGCTTTTCCTAGACTACCAAAATTAATTTGGACTCCCTTAGTATTTCTGTTGAGCAACAAGGAAAGGTATTCTAGGAATATGCTGAGTCTTGAAGGGATGTGATTAAGCTTTAAAAGAGAACTGAGAATGCTTAATTAAATGAAAGGCTATGTATTTATCTCTTTGCCCCAAAACAGGTCCAAAATTCAGCATTATCATAACCTGTCTAGAGTTCCAATGTATTGTATGTAGCTTGAACTATTTTTTTGTTTTGTCTCCTTGTGTAGCTCAGGCTGGCTTCAAACTCACTATGTAGCCCAGACTAGCCTCAAACTTGTGATCTTCCTGCCTCAGCTTCCTGAGTGCTAGAATTATATACATGTACCACCATACATGGAAAGTTTGAACAACTTTTTGCACAATGAACAAGGATACTCTTAAAACACCACCAAATATTTTTAAAATTATCAAGATGTGAGAAGATCAGAAGTATTCTGGGGATGTATCCTTAAAGCTACCTGGGAAAAGGGCTGTTATTGGGCACAAAGTGCTGAACAATTCATGGTTTTCATTTAGTGATACTCATCAGGGGCCTTTATCAGTTCATAGCATTATTTATAAGTTAGAGTATAGTAACTTTGTCTGCTAATCCACATGCCCCACCTGCTCACCCAGACCTTGCCCCCCTGCTCCCTCTCCCAGAGTCTTCCTGGAGGGCTGCATTCATCAGTTTAAGTATTTGAGACCTTTTCTATCCATGTGGTTAAGGGATGTGTTCCTGGCACCTTGTGCAGGTCCAGGAACCTGCTGTGTACGTCCCTGGCCAGGAGCCCCTGACTGCATCCAGGCTGGCTGCAGCACCCCTGCATGAGCAAAAACAGATGATTGGTGAGTGGTTGGCTCTCCTGTGCTGGGGCAGGAAGAGGAGGGGTGGGAGCTGACCAGCCTGCCAGGAACACGGAGTGAGGACAGGCATGAAGACAGGTCCAACTTTGCCACTGAATGAGCTGCCAGGTGACCTTACCCAAGTTGCCTCTACTTTCTAGGCCCCTCTACTCTTGTCTTCTAAATACTGGCCAGACCAATGATCTCAGGGCTTTTTCCAGCTCTGCTGTTCTACGATACTTAGGTGGGAGTAGGAGACACTCTGGATGTGGGGAGATCAGGGCCAGGAGTGAGATTATGGTCTTGGGTTTCTGCTAGGAATTGGGCCACAAGTGGGAAATACCTGTGCACTGGATAGGTATAGGTGATTCCCACTGGACTCTGAACTCTAGTGTGGTTCTTCTCCAGTCCCAGAGTCCATGAAAGACCCTGCTAAAAGATACTTCTAGTTGTGAATGAACAGGCTTGTTCCTGGCTGGCAGGTACTTCACTTCACAGCCACCCAGATCTCCAGATCCTCACTGAAGGCCCTCACTGCTACTACTCATTACTTCCTCAGTTTCTTATTAGATTTTTCCCACTTCATACTCCATCTCACCACCACAGAAAAAAACTTAAATGTGCTTAATAGAGGTATAAATGTGCTAACAAATGTGCTTTGTTAGCAGTGTAAACATTGTCACGCTCCTCGTAAGACCCCTTTCAACCCCAATTTGAGGATCCCATCCTAGCTGGGCCCTTTACACACTGCCAAAATGGGCTGACACCAACACTAGGTCCTGTTGCTAGGCATACCTGATGGTAGGAGGTGAATATATTCTATGTACTTGTCTCCTCAACCCTCAGCCTCAAGTTCAGTAATATATCCTGTCTAGAATAACCAGTATGTCCAGTTTGTGTTCCTTGCAAGATGAACAAAAGTAGTTTTTAGACAGAACAGATTTTTGTGCTGCAGATCACTTCACATATAATACAAAAATTGATTCTTTAAGCTATTCTCTAAAGCAGGTTTGCTATGCCCACTTTATAACTGGGAAAATAAATACCCAGTAAAGTTGAGACATAGCCTCGAATGAGCAGTTTTGGAATGATAACCTTAATATTCTTTGCTGCTTCACTCCATGTACTCCTTGGACAATGGAGTATAAGTCAGGTGTGTGCATAGGTATCACAGGTTGTTCCACACAGGGGAGCGCCTCTACCCCCTCATCCATGATGTCCATACCCAGCTGGCTGGCAAGATCACAGGCATGCTGCTGGAGATCGACAACTCGGAACTGCTGCTCATGCTTGAGTCTCCAGAGTCCCTCCATGCCAAGGTAGGTAGAGGCTGGGCAGCAGGAGAGCTAAGGACAAGGGCTGTCCTTGACACTCTAGGACAGGTGAAATTGATCTTAAGAGTAGAAGAGGGCCTTCAATAAGGGTTTGCTATTTCAGCCCCTCCAGAGACTAATTCTGTATAGCCGCATAGACAAGCTTTTGACACAAGAAGCTATGTTCTGACAGTATAAAGGTCAAGATTTTTCTGATGTCCAGAAGTGTACCTCTATCTCACAGGATCTTGTGAGTAACAGTGGATAAGTGTTCCCAAATCCTTTATTATGCTGAGATAAGAGAGGTCAAGGCTTTTCTGGAGTCCTGCTGGGCCAGCTGCACTAAGCCTCTTCCACTTGTGTCCCACAGATAGAAGAGGCAGTAGCAGTCTTGCAGGCACACCAGGCCATGGAGCAGCCGAAGGCATATATGCACTGAAAACGGTGGTTGACTGGGGGTTACATGAACTGTGACAGAGCAGCTGAGACCAGGAGAAACTGCAGAGAACCAGGCAAGAGGGTGACTTTCAGAAACTCACCATGTTGTGCTACTGGCTTTATCTGACACCCAAGGATTCCTTGAAGAGGGAAGCTGAAATGATCACAGATGATACACCTACACCTGACTAGAATGGTGCAGAGTGAAGCTGGTGTTTTCGTACCAGCTGCCCTGCCTGGTCTACATAGAATGAGTTGGGCTTTCCCTGGGCATAGGCTCCATTCTGCCTGTTAGAAGGCCTGCCTGTGTGGGCCACACTACATTCTTAACTGAAGACTGAGTGTCTTCAGTACTTCAGGAACATTTTTTTTTCCCTTTAACCCCTGGAAAATGGAATCCTTACTCCCCTGGTTGCCAAGAGTACAGCATTTCTTTCTCTGAGCTGAAAGGCCCTGTGAACTGTAACTTATTTCTTGACTGGTCTGTGTCTGTAACTGAGCTTCGAATATGGAATGGAGGCTGGTTACCCAGCCAGCCACTTAACTTTTGCTTTGTGTATTAAAAGTACTGCAAAATCTATCTTGCCTTTCTTGTGCTCAAGGGAGGTGGGGAAGGTGGGGGAGGTGGGGGAAGAGCAAACAGATTTGATGGGGTTGGAGCGTGCCTACAAGGAACAGATTCTCAAATGAGTAACAAAGTGCACAGAAGGTATACTAACAGGAGACTTGTCATGGGAACTGAGTTGGACTATCTGTAATAGCTCCAAACTAGAAATGACCACCCCTCCAACAGTGCAGCAGATGGTTAAATGAATATCATCATGCAGTGGACTGAGAAAATGGACCAAAGCTATAGGTACCCACATCTGAAGTATATGGTGTTTCTGTAGGTTTAAGCACCCTGCAGGGCAGGCAAACACCTTAGAAGCAAGCAACTGCTTCCAGGTCCCAGGTGATGGAGGTGTTGTACAATATAATTAAAGAAGAAATGTAAATGTGTTGGGGTGCCTTCCCAGGTCAGGATTCCCCTCCCCAACATGGAATGGGAGAATATCTAAGGTTCTTTGGGGCAGTTAGTGCTCACTTCCCATCAGAGGCATAGACCCCAGATCTTTGCCCTTCCACATACCTGTGCAGCCAAAGCACAGTGGCAAAGACCACAGTTTCTACTACCAGTTCACCAGTAACAAATCTGACTAGTCCAGGAGTCCATGCCATTTTGCCTTAGCTCTTCCTGTTCTCCACAAACATATGTCAAACTTTCTCCACTGCTCAGACCAAACCACAGTCCCTGTGCAGAGTCATCCCCTTTTCTCCAAATGCTGAATGCTGGCCATTTCTTCAGGCCTGATCCTCAGCCTTCTCCTTTTTCTACTTTCTCCTCACTGTGTACCTTTATAACCATATCTTCAATTTGTACACATTCTAGGATGTTTTTTCTTCAGCACAGGCCACTTTTGGGAGCTCCTGGGCCACAGATCGCACACTCTACTTGATTAGTTCTTGGTTATCCCAGTAACATTTCAAACTCATGTGTAAAACCAAGCTCATGACTTAGTATTCCCCACCCTCAAATCCTCTAGTTCTCTCTTCCAATGTTTTCAATAAATGGCCCCACCCTCATTCTACTGCAAAAGCTAAAATCTGAGGGTTTCCCCACTCCCCCTTTCAATTTCCTTCTTGTCTTCCATATGAAACCTATCAATTTTGCTGCCTTCTCTTAAATAGTTCTACTTTTTCTAAATCCACTACCATCATTCTAGTCTGGGCTCAACTAGGCTCTGGCAATAGCCTCTCCTGGCTTCACTGCATCTGTGCTATTATCCTGTGATCTATCCCCCACCATACAATCAGAGATTTCTCTCATAATGCACAGCCAATGTCTCATCCTTACCTCAGGTTTTCAAAAGCTTTCTATTATTGTTAGTGTAAGGACAAAACCTGTAATGACTTAAGTGACCCTGCATGAACTGGTGCCCACAAGGAAGTCTGCAGGATACCTTGTCATTCCCATGTAGTGATCCTGGCCATTAAGGCGATCACAACAGGACTGGAAGTGTGGTTCAAGTGGTATAGCACTTGCCTAGTGAGTACAGTTCAAACTCCAGTACCACAAAAACAAAAAATCACATTGACAGCTACATGTCCCTTTCCTAGACATGTTAATAAGAAGAAATTTTAGTCCTCAGAGCCTCTGGAGAAAGCCTTTTTGCCTGGAAAGGTCGTTGCCTGGCTGCCTATTTTCACTGGCAAGTCTACACACATACACACAGACACACTCTCAGAGCCAAAAAAGGACAGTGAGTAAGTCAGTTGTGCTTGGTGCTGCCACTAGACCGCCCTCAAATCAGACGGAGCCAGGATTGTCTGAGAGGCAGCAATAGTGCAGTTCCCCACTCTGAAAGGTCCCTGGGCATGCCCAAGGGGTTGGTCTGATTCTACATCCTGGAGATAACTGACTATACAGATAGCAAAAGCCTCATCCTTAAGCTGGGTGCCAGTGGCTTATGCCTATAATCCTAACTATTTGGGAGGATCACAGTTTGAGGATAGCCCAGGCAAATAGTTTGAGAGACTCTCATCTCCAAAAATGGACTGGAGGTGTGGATCAAGTCAGAGTCCTTGCTTTGCTTTGCAACCCATGAAGCCCTAAGTTCAAACCCCAGTCCCATTAAAAAAACAAAACCCAAGAAACCCTAGTCCTTAAGCCACTACTGCAGACTGCCCTTCCTTCACAGCTGACATCACTTAGCACCAAAGTGATGGGGAACAAAGGGACATTACAAATTCTTGCTCTGTCTAGTCATAAAACTTCTACATCATTAAGATGAAAATAATCTAACTATAACACAGCCCAGAAAGGGGAGGAAGCCCATAATTCTGGCTAGATCCTAAAGCTCTTTGCTGGTCTTACCACATGCCATGTTTTGTGAACCTGAATGCACTTTGGCTCCTTTTCTCCCTTCCAACTAGGACTTCACATATGCTATTCTGTCTTCATTGCTCCCCTGCCACCAGTTAACCTCTCCCCTTAGAACTCAGTTCAAGCTCTACTGCCCTGGGGTCCTTTACCTTCCATTGTGTAAACCTCCCCCTGGTGGTAGGCAAAAGTGTTGGATGCCTCCTTCATGATGTTGCAGCCAGCTGTAGTTCTACATTTGGGTGGTGATCTGATTACTTCTTGCCTTCCAAGTAGACTGCCAGTCTTCTGCGAGCAGTCACCAATTGTCTGTGTATTATCTCCCTAGCACTACAGGCCCATGCAGATATTTCAGAAAATCTGTTCAGTAAACTGATAATGCCTAAGATCCAGTAGCTTTTTTTGGTTTTTTTATCACTACAGAGTTGGAGGCACAAAGCTGAAAAGACATAAAAGTACAACTGATACCTGTGTAGAAGAAAGCTTTTTAATGCAATAGCTTAAACACACAGTTCAACAAAATCAGTCAGTTCAAATTAACTTCAACATATCACGAAGAACTAAGAAGTCTGGAGGGGCCACTGTTGGGAAAAAAGGGCAAACTCTTGCCCAGAATGGAAGGACACTGACCTCCAGGAGGCCTCTCTCCCCATCCGAGGAGGAGCAGCCATAACCACTGAGCTCTTAAGTAGCTTAGGTAGCTCCATACGGAAGGCAGCAGCACAAAGTCAAGGACAGAAATTCCACAGGTCAGGGCTCTGCCTTCCTACAAAGGAGGGCCCAACTGAAGGCACTGGGGTTCAGACATAGGAGACTGTGCCCTTAGAAAGATGGCAGCCTTGGAGAACCAGCTCAACAGGCTGCTTTGGGTGTACGTGGGCTGGGGTTTTAGCTTGTCAACTACCCTCTACCCCCAGCTCAGTTGTTCAGATTAACTGCAGAGAGGTGGAGTCTTGTACTCAGTCTGCAGCATACTTGGGGCAGGGACAAAGTCAAGTGCTTTGCTGTTTGTGTGATCTGCTAGCTGTCTGAGGTAAGGAGATGGGGACAGAGCTCCAGCTTCACACCTCAGCTCTAGTGGGGACCTTCCTGACAAAACAAAGTCCTGTGCTTGCCTACACTGGGGTTAATTTGAACAAGCAAAGGTTCTTGGAGGGGCTGAGGAGGGTGCTTTGGAGCTCCTTCGGGGACATGCTGGGTGTCAGGGGCAGATACAGGGGAGGAGGCCTCTGGCTTCTCTGGGAAGGTCAGGCAGAGGGTTCCTGCTGCCCTTTGGGGTTTTAGTTCAGGTTCTGGTTAACTTCCTGCTGTAACTTCTGTGCAGGGCCGTTCTTGGGCTCAATTTGTAGGAGACTGCTGATGTCTGCAAGGCTGGACTTATAGTCCTAATGGGAGAGAAGAGAAGAGTGTGTGGAAGGGACCTGGAGGAGGTGAGGTTCACCTGGCCTGGTGATAGCTGCTGAGGCAGCAGAGTGTTTTCAAATCCCAGCCTGTATGTGCCTGAGCTAACTGGGGCCCAGGAGAAGGAACTCAGCAGGTATTGTCTCACCTTCACTGCACTCTGAAGTGCCAGCACTGGCCTAAATCTCTGTAGCTCTGTGGGGATCTTTTACCTTGAGAGCCTTGTAGGCTTGAGCCCGCCTGTAAAATGCCTTCACATTCTTCCCATCTAGCTTGAGGGCTTCTGTGCAGTCTTTCACTGCCTCCTTATACTGCTTCAGGACCAGATGGCAGAGCGCTCTGGTGGGGGAAAGATCAATGCAGAGATTCAGTCACTTCTGAGGACCCCACAAAACAGGAGGTAGTTGAGAAGAAATCTCTGATTTGCTGAACACCGACTTTGTGCAGGTTACTTTCTATTTTTTTCAATCCTCACAACAATCCTAGCCCCTTTTTACAAATGAGAAAGCTATAAAAAGCTTTTTACAGCTAGCTCAGAGCAGTAGAGGGACCTGCCTGAAGTGCTGCCACTACTAAGGGCAAAGCAGGTGGGTCTGCATGATCCTGGATCTGACCTTGTTTAGTGCTATCATTTTGTCTACCTCACTTTCCTGTATCAGGCTCTTTCAAGCAAAGAAAAGCTTTTCTGACAGTTTTTTTTTTTTTTTAAGTATCTACTTTAAGAAAAAGCAAACATTAAGTACTGAACTCTAAAGCATGCTGATACATTAGGGGTAAAAATGTAGAGATATCTGTAATTTACTTTGAAATGCATCAAAAATAGTAAGATGGATTGGGCTGGGGATACAGCCCAGTAGTCGAGCATTTGCCTAACATGCACAAGGTCCTGGGTGTGACACCTAGCACCACATAACAAAATACTGTATGATTTGGATGGTGGCTATATGGATGTTCGCTATACTGTTCTTCTGACTCTCCCATATTTTGAAATTTTTTGTAATAAAGTGTTGGAAAAAAAAAATCATGTCCATCCATACAACAAAACATTTTGCATCTGTGGATAAAAAAGTGAATGTGTGTACTTTCATCATTCAAGTCTGGTTGTTTTTTCCAAAGACAATCACTAAAAGCACAACCATCAGAATGTCCTGAGGCTTAGTATTTAAGTCCACCATCCTACCTCACTGTTTCCAGTCAGTGTATTGTATTCACTTAGCTGGATAAAGCATAATTTATTTTACCAATTTCTATTAATAGATTTTTTTTCCAGCTTATAAATAAAATGATGCTACAGTGAACATCTTTGTGAGAGAGACTCCTGGCTCAAAAGATAAGTGCGTTTTAAGTTTTGATTGTTACTGACAAAACGCTCTCCAAAGAAGTTGTACTCTGTCAAACTTGACAGAGCTTACTTTTCAGCAACTATACCAAGCCTGGGTCTCAAACTTCTGTAAACATAGAAGAAAATGGTAACTCACTGTCTTCTTTTAGTTGCTTTAAACATGGGTATAACTGAACATCTCTTTACATAAAACTTTTTAATCTTACAAAATCAAATTTATCCAACTTTTTCTTAATAACTTCTGTGGCTTTTCTCCCCATATAAGAATACCTTCCCCACTGCAAGATATTAACCCCTGTATTCATCTAGAATGGTTTCATTTTTTTACATTTGAAACTGTGATTGACTTAGTTTATTTTAAAATGAAAAGTGAGGAATATTCAGGCTTGTATTTAACTCTTACCCAGCTAACCTACCACCATTATTGAATAATTCCTCTTTTTCTCATACTTTATACACTAAATTCTCTTATGCTGTTTTTCTTATTTATTTTTTTTCCTGACAAATTTTGGAATCATCATCATGGAGTTAAAAAGCAAAAACAAAAACAAAAAGCTCAGGCTGGGTTATAGTTCAGTGGTAGAGTGCTTGCCTACCAGGCACAAGGCCCTGGGTTCATTCCCAGCACTGCAAAACCAAACCAAAACAAAGAAAAAGAAGAGGTCTCTAAGAGTAATTAAAGCTGGGTGCCAATGGTTCATGCCTATACTCCAAGCTACTTTGGAGACTGAGAGTGAGATGATCTTGGTTCCAGGCCAGCCCAGGGAACTAGTTCACAAGGCTTCTTCTCCAAAATAACCAGAGCAAAATGGACTGGAGGTGTGGCTCAAGTAATAGAGTGCCTCCTTTGTAAGCAAGAAGCCCTGAGTTTAAACCCCAGTCCCACCAAAAAAAAAAAAAAAGTAATTAAAACAGTATGGAATACATTTCTTTAAAGAACACTATATAAACAAAACACTGTCTCACATGTGGTTTTTAAAAAAATCTGGAGAATGGGCTAATGGGGTGTCTAGCAGCAAAAAGGCCTGAGAGAACAAAGAGAAAGGAGTTTCAAGTTAGCTAGCAAACAGAAGAACACCTAGTCCAATCAGCCAGTAAAACCACAAGTCCAAGATTCCACATTCCAAATTTAAAACTAAAAGTTCGTTTTTTCAGCTCTTTGGAAGCAAAAGCTGACCTGAAATGAGACTACTTAGTTTCTTTATACTACCATATATATATGGAATTTGCATGTTTCACTAATAATTTATTTCAGCAAGCTGACTAGACCCTTCTGGGGTGTTATATAATCACCAAAGGACCATATTACCTTTCTAAAATCTGAAGCACATTTTATCCTAAGAGTTTTGAGGCTGGGCATATTGGTTAACATCTATAATCCTAGCTAATCAAGAGGTAGAGATTCAGAGTATCATGATTCCAGGCCCAAAAAGTCCTCAAGACTCCATCTCCACCAATAAAAACTGGTGTGGCCGTGCTCACCTATCATCCCAGCTATGCAAGAAGCATAAATAGGATTGTGGGTCAGGCCAGTCTGGGTATAAATACAAGACCCTATTTGGAAAAATAACTAAAAGCAAAATGGGCTGGGGGCATGGATCAAGTGGAAGAATGCCTGCCTAGCAAGTTCAAGGCACTGATTTCAAACCCCAGTACCACAAAAAAAAAAAAAAAAAAAAAACGAGAAGTTTTATTTTAAGGAACAGTGAGCCTATGTCAAATCAAAGATTTCTGAACTGGACAGTGATAAGCTCATGTTGGCAGGGAAGGAGAAACAGATTTACAACATTTAATAAATGGCTTAGATTTGATATGGTCTCTTGATAACTGTATTGAGCTTTGATAGTAAAACTAACAGATCTCACCGGGTGCCTGTATTCCTAGCAACTCAGGAGCCAGAGATCATAAGGATCATAGTTTGAAGCCAGCCTGGACACATAGTCTGGGAGACCCTATCTGGAAAATACCCAACACAAAAAGGGGCTGGTGGAGTGGCTCACGTCGTAGAGCACCTGCCTAGCAAGCATGAGGCGTGAGGCCCTGAGTTCAAACCCCAGTACCACCAAAAAACCAAACCAAACAATCTAACAGATGTCATTGGAGCCAGACTTCAATTTTACTACCATTATTTACTGGCTGGGTGAGCTGAGACAAAACCCTTCCTTCTCTGAACCTTGGCTCTCTCATCTTTAAAACAAGATCTACAACCTATATCAAACACTATTGTGCAGCAGTGAGCACTATACCACAGGGACAGTACCTGGCTCTCAGGCCCTCACAGAAGTCAGTGCAGTGATAGCAGCTTCTGGGGCACAGACTTCCACAGACCCACAAGTCTAACCCCTGAGACTGGACTGCACCCTGTTCTCCTATTCCTAGGTCAGGAAACAGTTACTTCACTCCCTGGGTTCTGGGCCAGTACCCTCAGATAGAAACTGCTAATATTTCAAACAGGAAGGTCTTGGAGAAGCCACAGGGTGAAGCGCAGGGGGGGAGGCAGAGACTTGCTTTAAAGTTGTGTTTACAAGGAAGCACGCTGCTTTTGCTTACATTTTATGCTCATTTGAGGTGGTTATAAAACTTTTGGGGAGAAGAGCTAGTAAAACCCAGACTTCCCTTTGGCAACCTTAGTTTCTACCCATTTAAGAAAGCAAATGCCATTGGCAATGCCCAGCTCACAGTGCCCAAAACAGGTGTGAGTGCATGTTTTGACCTATAACAACCAAATGCTAGGGACTGAAGAACCCACCTCATTCACATAAGTCTAAGGAACCAAACATCCTGAAATCCCCCAGGCCAGCAGCTGTGCAGAAGATACCTGTTGCTGTATGTGGCGGATTCCAGGTTACTAAACAAGAGGCTTTCACTGTACTTCTCAATAGCTTTCTTATGGTTGCCCTTCTTTACAAGCTCATTGCCTTCTTCCTTCAGAACTTTGGCTCTCTCCACATCCCCAGCAGAAGGCACTAGATACAAATTCAGAAGAGGAAAAAAACCATGGAGCAGGTGCCCAAATGAGATCAATGAGATCTCTTCAGCGTCATCTCTTCTCAGCTGTGTACAACCTTCTTTCCCTGAGATTGTCTACACTGTTGCAAATTATCCTTTCTGATTAATGATTTTCCTCAATTAATGGCTTCTTAGAAATTAAACAGGTTTTCATTCAGAAGAGGGTGGGTTACAAACATATTCACACATGCACATAACATACACATGATAAAAAGCAACCAAGGTTTTAGTTTTGGCACTGCTACTTGATAGTTGGACTATACTGTGTGACCTCTTTAACTTCTGGACCTCAATTTTGTCACCATTGCAATGGGACTCCTATTCCACAAAGGATTAGAATCAGATCTGAGAATACATGAAGTACAGAACAATGTGCAAACTTACAACAGGAGTAAGTACTATCAAACAGGCATCTAGTAAAGAAAGACTGTAGATTCTGGGTTTCAGACCTGTTTTGGTCTGAGCCTGTGTCTTCTCTCACCTGTCACATGCAGCTCTGCTTTAGCCTTTCAGGAAGAGAGGAGAGAACAAGGTGAATAAGCTACTTGCACTGGTGTTCAAATCCCTTCACTTTTTGGTCCCAACTAATTATTCCAGCCTCTGTTCTGTCTCCTGCTTTTTAATCTTCAAAAATTATCATTATCAAATGTTAATATTTATAATAAGAGTAAGGCTATAGGAATAAAACCAACACTTGAACACATCCCTCTGCTTAAGAAACACTACTACTAGGACCTTTGAAGACCTGTGGACTCCTCTCCAACTCAATGCACTCCCAGAGAAAACTATTATCCTTAATTCTTGTGCTCCTTTCACTTGCCTTCCCCTCATGAGTCCTGTTTAGTTTAACTAAATATGAGTTATCAATGAACTACTTGTATTTACTTTGTTTTTGAGCTTCACAGAGGTGCAAACTGGTTTTTTTACCCCTTGACATTATATTCTTGAGATTCTTCTGTGTTGATACATGTACTGTAGTTGATTTGTTTTCACTGCTGCAATAATACAATGGATTTGTCCATTTTCTTATTTGTGGAGATCCGGATTACTTTCAGTTTTGTTTTTGCTGTTACAAACATTCTGCTAAGGGCACTCCTGTACACATCTCCTTGTGCACATGTGCATGAGTTTCTCTAGAAACAGGACCCATGGGCTGGATGTACATAAAGCTCCAGCTTCATCTGCGCTCTGCAACATACTACTCATTGCAGTAACTCTTTTATTTCCACTGTTTAGCCTTTGCACTTTCCTTTTTCAACTTCCTCTACTGCCTCTGCCAAGAATTCTCCTCCCTTCCTACCTGGTGACCTCATCCTTCAATGTAACAGCTCAAGCCATCACCTCAATCACCAGCTCCTCTGGGAGCCTTTCCCCTGAGCATGTTTAAGTCAGTTTCTAATTTGAACTTCTCAAACACTAAAGACTCTAAGCACTCATTCTTCCTCCTTGTACTTTAAAATGTCTCAGTTCCTCATTATACTAGGGCTCCCTGAAAGTCAAGACTGCCTTGTCCTCTGGGTCACACTGCTTACAAAGAACTCACAACCCATGTGGCTCAGTGAATCCAAAGAAGCAAAATAAGCGGCAGGTGTCTGGAAAACCATCTATTTCACTAGCATCCCACACTTTCATCCTAGGGAAGAGTGGGCAACACTTACCAGGGTTCCCCCAAAGGAGAATGAATACAACCCATAGCTACATAGGTGTCCTCCTGGAAAGAGAAGTAATTCCAGCCCTGATCCCTCTATACCTCCTTCTGTACCTGTGTAACCTCAACCCTAGCTTGCTACACTGGGACAGTTCTCTTTCAACACTGTAAGAGCTTTCCAGTTGACAGTCTCCTGTTTGTGACTGCCCATCTGCTTATCTTCCTTCTCCTGAGACACACCTAGTACATGTGTTCCTGGAGAAGGAGAGCCCTGTAGTTATGGCATTGGGGCAGATGGCCTGGGGCTAGGATAGTCACAAAATCTCATCCCCTAGTCACAGCAGCTGGTGACTAATTTGACCAGAAGGGACTCAGAAAATATGTGAGTCAGGGATGTGGGGGAAAAATATCTTCTTTTCCTAGTGAGCTATTTGTGTGTGTTCATTACTTTTTCGGTCAAGAGGCATGGTATATGGGTGAAGGCCAAGAACTTCTACAGCTTCTTTGCCACTAGGACCAGAGCCTGCCTGAAGGCAAAGCTGACACACAATCAAGAAGAGAATGGAGAAAAGCATGGAGAACTGGAGTCAAGACTGACTGTGCAGTGAACTACTGGGAAAATCCTGTCTGTACTCTCTCTGGACTTCTTAGTTATATGAGCCAATAAATTCCTTTTACTGTTTTACCAAGCTAACTTTTTTTTTTTCCTGTTTCTACAATCAAAAATATCCTAAGTGATATATCCCAAATGCTGCCAGAGGAACAGCATACCTCTGTGCAGGGTGTAAGTTTTATGTACTTTACATCATTTAATCCTTACAGCTATGAAGTAGGTTTTATCTTCACCTCGCTATACTGCTGAAGAAACAATCTTTAAGTTGAGACCTCTTCCTTTTGTTTTTTTACTTTAGTTTATAGCTTAAATAAACAAGACCAATTTTTATAGGACTACTCTAATGAAAGATTGCAAGACTTTCTAGGCAAAGAGTCATAGCTCACCTCTGCTCTTTGTAGTTGTGGTTTCTTTGGATTTGCTTTTAGCTGTCTCTTTGTAGTTCTCTGAAGGCAAGGAATTCCACCTCTTCTGGGCTGAGACAGGCACCACAGGTATAGAGGGCAGCTTCAGGCGCCACTCAGGTCCAAGTGAGTCCATGAGAGCTCTGGTTATTCTGGAAGAGAAGGCAGGATTGCAGAGAGGTTTCCAGCCAGGTCAAGGAGATATTCTTCCATTCACACACCTGAGGGAGGTAGGCTCTTCCACAGGAAGAACCATCTGTTTACATCCTCCAACATACTGTAACAGAGGAACAGGAGGGAACCTACCATTCACAGGCTCCTGCTCACATCAGCCACCATGACACTTCTCACATATTCCAAGAAAGGATTCTAGGTTTAATTGTTTTATATTTTCTCAATGAATCTAATACAAAATCATGCAAGCACCTGACATTTCTTTAGTGCTCAGAGATTTTTTTTAAGTACAAATCTTAAATCATTCACCAATTCTAAAACCTCTCAATGGTTCCCATTTCCATAGGCTAGCATGGTCTATGAAAACTGGTCCCTTCCCTGCTCTTCACTTTTACTATGTGCTACATTCACTGCTGATCCTTGGGCTGTAGGCATAGCTCATGCACGAAGCCCTGGGTTGAATCCCCAGGACCACCAAAAGCAAAATGGAAACCTTTCTCATCTTTATTTTCATATTTTCTTTACTTCTAATAATTTCTTTCACTTTTCATTCCCACCTTCTAGACCTAGCTAACTCCTACTTATTCTTTAATTTTCAACTTTACTTCTAATAATTTCTTTCACTTTTCATTCCCACCTTCTAGACCTAGCTAACTCCTACTTATTCTTTAATTTTCAACTTAACATGCCACTTTGTGACTGTATTTCCATTTGGTTAATGAATCTCCAAAACCTAGCAAGTCACCTGGCACCCACCAAAACCCAGTACGTATTTGCAGAATGAGTTAATAATGTCAACTGTAAACTTTTTCTGTTACAAGAATGAAAACCATACAGACTAACATTACGATAAATTCAATGGTCTCGGACTAGGCCCCCAGAGCTGTTTCCTTGGTCTGCCTAGCTATTTCAAACTTCCTCAAATCTGTTTCCAACCTTTCTCTTCTTTTCAAAGCATACTTCCTCACACCCCAAATACAAACCTACTAGCCTGGCTGCTCAATCCTTCCTACTTCTTTCTGTTACACATTGGAACTGAAAGGGTCAATCCTTCTACCTAAACTCTGGATCCCATCCCCTCCTGCCTTTCAGGGAATTTGCTCAGAAAGCCTCAACTATACCTGCAACCTTTCTCTATGAACTCCAACTCTCCACAGGGAAACCCTTTTAACTCTTTGCTCACTTAAAACACTCTTGGACACCCCTCTACCATCCCAACTACATTTTCTGAACCTGGCTTCTTGACCTCACTGAACTGCTTCTCTCAGCATCACCAGGGTCTTCACTGTTAAACCCTTAGTGTACCTGGTCTTGTTGGCACACGTGACACTAATGGTGTCCTTTTTTTTTTTTTTTTTGGTGAGACTGAGGTTTAAAATCAGGGCTTCATGTTTGCAATGCAGGCTCTCTACCGCTTGAGCCATGCATGCCTCAGGTGTATTTTGGAGATGTAGTTTCACAAACTATTTGCCCAGGCTGGTCTTGAAGTGCAATCCTTCCTATCTCAGTTTCTTGAGTAGCTAGGATTATAGGCATGAGCTGCTGGCTCTGGCATCCAGCCTCCATTTCTTCTTAAAATACTTCTTTGCTCAGGTTTCCTGAGGCTCCTATTACTCTGTAAGTAACTTAAATAGTGGTTTCTCAAAGCCCCATCCTTTCCCCCTACACACTTACTGTGAGGTCTTTTTTCCTCCCAACACTTCAATCATCTCTCTCTGTGCTTATGACCCTCAAATCTCTATTCCTGGCCTGTATTTTTTGTTGTTGCTGTGGGGAATTGAACTCAGGGCCTTATACCTGCTAGGAAAGCACTCTATCACTTGAGTCATGCCCATAGACCTTCTGCTTTCTGGTTCTGTTTATCAGATGGGGTCTCACACTTATGCCCAAGCTGGCCTAAGACCATGATATTCCTACCTTCATATCCTGAATAGCTGGGATTACAGAACCACACCACCACACTTGGTATGCTTTCGAGAGAGGGTCTCACTAAATTTTGCCTGGGCTAGCCTTGAATCATGATTCTTCTGATCTTCCCAGTAACTAGGATTACAGGCGTAAACCCCCAAACCCAGCTTATGATTTGTCCTTTGATCCCAATCCATTTGCCTCCCCTACATCTTTCTCTCCTGCCCTGAAGGTACTTCCAATACAGTACATCAACAACCTGAATGTCCTCTTCTATCTTCCTTCTCACAAATCCATTAAAGATTATTGATGTCCTTCCTAAGAATCCTTTGAATTGAGGGGACTATTCCCCTAACTGCTGCATACCCCCTTCCTACTCTGTTTCCTTTCATGTTATCTCTTAATACGTCACCTGCTGAGCTTTTGTCTAAAAATAGGGCTGGTAGCATAGTTCAAGTGGTAGAGCATGAGGCCCTGAGTTCACAAAAACAACAAAAAACTGCTCATGTTGTTCCATGGCTAAAAATGTTTTAATGATATCTTACTTTCTCAGGATTAAGTCCAAGGCCCAGGCTCTGTATGACCTGGCCTCACCAACCTATCCCAAGCTGGGCTCCCCACTCAACAGCAGCATGTGAAATGGACTTCTTACATTTCTAGTCATATGCCATGCTCACTCACTCTTGCACATGCTGGCCTTTCTCCTTGCTAGTCCCCAAGGCCAGACCTCTGTATCTTTCAGTCTTGACTTACCTCCCCTGAAAAGCCCTCTCCAGCCTCCCTCTTCCTCCTAGCTGGCTGGATGCAGCACCATGTGCTTTCTCCTACCCCAGTACTTAATACATGGTAATGAGGTTGTCTATTATTGACTGGTATATCCGAAGGCCAGGAGGGCCTTCCTCTATGAGGAAGAGGCATGTCTCAGGCAGCAGCCAGGGTTTTTGTATAAAGTCTGGCACATAACAGGTACATTTTATTGAATTATAGAAATTAAAAGGAGGCCAACAGAAGACAAAGGATGTTGACAAAGATCAAGCAAGAAACAAAACAATGAACACATACTCTGAAATATTTGAAACTTGATTTTCTAGCAGTCCACACAAAAAGGGGACCATGATTGATTAATTATACAAATATGAGTGTCATGCAATAAAAACTGATCATGGCCCAGGACACCAGACATTTTACCTGATGGGTCTTCTGGAAGGATTATGGTACAAAACCCTAAACCACGTTCCCAAAGAATGTCCCTTTAGGCTGTATCCCAGCTGCTTATGCTGGTGTCTTACTCTCCCAATCAGTGATGGCTATTTGAAGACAAGTGGAGTATGAATTTCTTTTTTTATTTTGGCATCCCTCACTGAACCTGGCATAATACCTTAAAGAGTTTGATAAATATTGCTGTGTGAATGAATTTGCATGTCTAGGCAAAAATCAACTACAAGTCAATCTGACTCCTTAAACACTTATTAAATACAACAGATTATCTTTGTGCACTCTGCCCCACATGCTCATTTAAGAGTTTTCTAAGTCTGCCAGGCACCAGTGGCTCACACCTGTAATCCTGGCTACTCAGGAGGATCGAGGTTCAAAGCCAACCCTGGGGAAATTGCTCATGAGACCCTATCTCAAAAAAACCCTTCACATAAAAAAATGGCTGGTGGAGTGGCTCAAGCGATAAGAACACCTGTCTAGCAAGCATGAGGCCCTGAGTTCAAATTCCACTGCTGAAAAAAATAGTTTTCTAAGTCTAGGCAAAGAAACCTCACCCAGAAGATAACCAAACAAAATGGCCAAAGCCAACCAAGGAGCATAGGGAGTTTCCGTGGAGAAGTCCTACAAAAATTGGGTTCACCTGTTGATGCCTTCCAGGGCTGATGTCACACTGCTGTCAATCTGCAGTACAGTCTTATAGTCGACATAGGCCAGGGGGTACTTCTCCAGAGCCTCATAAGCAGATGCTCGCCGAAGTAGAGGCTTAATGCTGAAGGGAATCAAGGCCAGTGCTCTGAAATAGGAGGCAAAAATGTCATCTGCCTGCTGGGCCATCACTGCTCCCCCCAGCTTCTTCCAGGCAGGGTGGATCTCCAGCATTCAGTATATGGGAGGTAATTTCTGGCAGAGAGACAGTCTCTCTAGAACAGGGACTTTTGAAGTTCAGTTGAAGTGGGGAGAGAAAGAAGGAAAAGCACCACTAATGTGAAAGTTGTGTCTATGCACATCAATTTTCGTAGCTTCAATTTTCAAAAGAACAAGGGCCTCACAGCTTTCATGCTACCATGTGCTCTAGACTGGTCCAGTAGGAGTAATAAACAGGCTTTGGAGTTAGCCAGGATCGTATTGAAATTCTACTTGTCACCACCAGTCATGGGACCCCCTGCAATTCAGTTCTGCCTGGGAAAGTGAGTAAACAGAGTAGTTGTGAGAACTCAAAGAAGGAAACCTAGCACAGACTTCATGAACATGCTTGCTTTCCTACTCCTTTCCTACCTACCACTAGGGCAAGAATCTAAGGCAATGTGACAGGGTAACAGATCTGAGAACCCAGTGAGGGGATGTATGCTAGTTTAGATTGATAAATAAAGGTAATATTAAACTGGACTAAAGAAGGATGAAGTATGAAAAATTGTTCCATGTCCTCTGTAACAGGTCACTGATAGATACCCATTTCTACCTTTCTCCTAGCTTCTTTACAATCTATTACCCCATGATCCCTCCTACCCACATCCATCCCAGGAAAACGCCCAGACAAGCCATTCACTGGTGTGCAACTCTACTTCACCCTAGTTCCCTGTCTCATAGAGGCTTTAAGGCCTACTTTTAACTGCCCGCCCAACACCTTTTTAGCAGCAGCAGAGCCAAAACTCCACAGACACAAGTCAAGGGCCACAAGGACTAAGTAGAGTCTCTCATTTTCAGTGGCTTGACGGCAATGATACTTCTAATACCTGTCACAGACATAACTGGTAGGATCCTTCCAAACAAATAAACCAGATAAACCCAGCCTTCTCTCCTAAGACCCTCAGGTATACCACATTCACTCCGGATCACTTACGAAGTACAATCTTTGATGCAGTCTGTGCAGTTTCCATCCTTCAAATGGCATGCTGCACGGTTGGAGTAGAGAACACTTTCTTCTTCAGGGTTTGCAGAACCTATCCCGGTAGAGGCAGAAGAGTGACAAGATCATCAGTTTGGGAAAGGAATGCATTTCACAAGTGAAGATCTCTCAGCTTTGGGAAAGGGCAGCAGAGATGACTGTAATTCGATGAGGCTTGTTCCCTGGACTGGCTGGTATGTTTGCCATTATTACATTAGAGTGGGGGCACTGACAGGGAGCCAAGCATTTCCTCATTCACCACTTCAGCATTCACCTGGTGCAAGGTAACAAGATAAACATGAAACAGCTGGTACCTTCCTCAAAGAAATGCCTGCTGTAACTACTTGGGTATATGTTAAATTTTTCACAGAAATTCTGTAAATTTTATTACAGAAAACCCAATGAAATAAAAGAACAGTATGATAAATGCCTGATTAAATGGACTGACCAAAAGATGTAGGGACAGGAGAGCCAGAAAGTAGTTCTACCTGGTTAAGTAAGAAAGGACTTTGGCTAGACACTAGTGGCACACAACTGTAACCCATAAATCCAAGCTACTTGGGAGGCTGAGATCAGGAGATCCAGGTTTGAGGCCAGCCTGGGCAAACAGTTTTGGAGACCCCATCTCCAAAATAATACCAAAAATAAACCAGAGGGAGGTCTGGCTCAAGAGGTAGAGTGTCTGCTTTGCAAGCACAAAGCCCTAAGTTCAAACTCCAGCAATTTCCCCCCCACCCCCCCAAAAAAAAGAAGGAAAAGAGAAAGAGAAAGAGAAAGAAAGAACTTTACCAGGAAGTGATAACTGAGCTGGGTCTGCCAGGACTATGCAGAACTCAGCTAGGAGAAGGACTCAAGCTACCCAAAGGGAAAAAGTTATCAGTTATTTCTCTAAGGGCACTCCTATCTTCAGGAATCACAGAAGCTCAAGTTGCTCACTGTGGCCAAAATGATTTTTATTTTTGACAATAATTTTCATGAGCCATAAGTAAGAACAACAAAACAAAAACACCAAAAATAAGTGTTGACCAAGTAACTCCACTCATAGATACGAAGAACTAAAAACAGGTTTTCAGAAAACATTTGAAATATATGGAAAACCATATAATACTCAGTGCCTACCACTATATTTATCATATTTATAGCTCTTTCCAACCTTTTAAATTTAACTTTATTTTTTTGGGGGGTGGGAGGGGAACCAAGGTTTGAACTCAGAGCCTCATGCTTGCTAGGCAGGCTCCACTTGAGCCACAACTCCATCCTTTTTTGTGCTGGTTATTTTTGACAGGGTCTCACTTTATGCCTGTGCAGGCCTGGACTGTGATCCTCCTATTTGTGCTTCCCTGCACAGCTGAGATGACAGGCATGTACCACCACGCCTAGTCATTGACTGAGATGGGATCTTGAAAAGATTTTACCCAGTCTGGTCTCAAACTGCAATCCTTCTACTCTCTGCCTCCCAAGTAGCTAGGGTTACAGGCTTGAGCCACTGTACCAGACCTATTTTTTTTTTTTTTTTTTTTGGAGACAGGGTCTTGCTATGTAGCCCAGGCTGGCCTCAAATTAGTGATCCTCTTACCTCAGTGTCCTGAGTGCTGGGATTACCAGCATACACCACTATACCCTAGCTTCCTTTTTTATTTTTGACATGGCTAAAGCCATACTCATTCTTATTCTTATCCTTATGCTCCCTCTTTAGAGGTCAGCACAATTCTGAAGCTGGTAAGTTTTTTTCTTTTTTTGGGGAGCACTGGAGTTTGAATTCAGAGCCTCATGCATGGGAGACAGGTGCTCTAACTGCTTGAGCCACTCCCCAGCCTTTTTGTGATGGATTTTTTTTTTCCAAGATAGGGTCTCAGAACTATTTGCTGGGGCTGGCTTCCAACCTGTGATCCTCCTGATCTCTGCCTCCTGAGTAGCTAGGATTCCAGGTGTAAGTCACCGGCAGCCAGCTGGTGTATAAATTCTTAAGCATTGTCTACTTTTATTATATATGCATTCATAGGAAAGATACAATATCATTTATGACTGTTAAAGCATTTTCTAAGTGGTATCATATTGCCTATCCTTCTGCAACTTGTTTTCACTAAGTATCATGATACCATGTTGATACTTGATATCTTTCATTCAATACCAACAACAAACAATTAATTAGTAAACTTTTTTTTTAATCATCTTGCTAGGCCCTGAGACAGAAAGGAGAGATAAGTAAAACACATCCTTGCCCTTAAGGAGTAAGTACTCAAAATATGTACTCCATCTCAAGTCGCTAGAGCATGGCTGGTCAGAAACGACAATAGTGCGTAGAAAGGGCATCAGAACCTACAATCCAGCCAGCGATCCTGTGCAAGTCACTTGAGCCCTCTGATAATGTGTGCTTATCTACCACAGGAAGGTATCACTTCACAGACTTGCTTAAGGTTCCTTGCAATAGGGTGCTCCCTGTTTTCCTTTTAAGACCAAGAAGCAGGATCTGGTAAATCGAGAAACTTGCCAGACAATTACCTAGAAAATCAATAGTAGGATCAGAACCAAACTCTTCTCCCTGCTAAATTTAAACATCAGGCCAGCTCTGCTAGGGTCCCAGAATAACACCCAACAAAAGCACAGTTTTTCAGGCTGGAAGTGGGGAGCAGGTGATAAAAGAAAAAGGTAGAAACATCAATACCTCAGTAACTTCATCAAGTGAGGCTGTGTGACCAGGTGAGCCTAAATAGATTTCCGAGGGGGGAGGGGGGGCTGGAAAGAGGGGTTGGGGAGGGTAAAGGAGTAACTTGAGACTACAAAAACTTCATGAACAAAAAACAACCGGAATTTGGAGATTTGGGGAGAAGTCTAGCTCAATGATTAAAAATTTGGACTTAGCAATTAGGTCTATATTCAGATCCTGGCTTGGACATGTCTTTACCATGTAACCCGGGGTTGGCAATTTCATTCTTCTGGCTTCCTCATTCACAGTGCTTTATCCATAAGACCATAACAAAGATAGTGTCCACAATAGGAGACCACTCAAAAGACGCTAGCCAAGAAAATGAGAAAGAGGAAGACGGCAAAGGAAATAGGCACTAAAGACTGACTCCTTGGCACTCCTCCAAAATCAAAGCTTTAAACAATGGGGGCTCCTGGATAAGATATTCTGGAGAACAGGCTATGGGCAAAGGCCTGTTGTTGGTTGAAGGGAGCTGGAAGCTGGGAGAACTGACAAATATGCTACTGTTTAAAACCTCTCTAGTAGCTTCCATAGGTTCTGCCTATCTCATGTCTCATTCTCTCTGCGCCTTGACTCCTGGGCACATCACGCTTATGGCTCTGGGGGGCCTTTCTAATGGACCCCTCAGCACCCAAAAACTTTATGCGCTGCTCTTCTCATCATTCAGACATCACCTCAAACATCCCTTCTTCACAGAATTCGTTTGTGAATTCCCACTCTAAAGGGGTGCCCCCAGTCAACTCTATCATATTACCGTATTTGTCTTCATAGCCTTCATTTTCTCGGAGGTTTTATTCACTTCTTTACCACCTTAAGATTCACAATCCCACCCCTCCACCTCCGCAATAAAGTTCAATCCTTGAAAGGCCCTTTTCTGTCTTGTTACATAGTCGGTATACAACAGGTGCTCAACAAATACTGACTTAATTGAAAAATGAATAGTTGAGGGGAAAAAGGGTTCAGCCATATCCTCAGGGAACTGAACGAGGCCTGAAAAATTTGGGATGGGGGCAAGAAGGCGGTTCAAAAGGAGGCGGAAGGGGTCAAAGGAGTTTCTCATAGGATGCTCAACTGCGAGCAGCGTGGTGGCAGGGACTGGTGGGCTGGCCGGCGCGGGGAAGGGAGCCTCTGGAAAGCAGAGTTAGAGCGAGGCCTGGGAGGCGGTGCTGGACGAGCAATGGAGGCAGGTTCGTACCTCGCGCCTGCAGCAGCCGCAGCGCGCGGCCGTAGAGCATGGAGGCCTCGGCGTACTGGCCGTTGCGGAAGCTCTGGTTGCCGGCAGCGCGGAGCCCCTCCACAGAGTCGGGAAGTTTCGGGGCCATTCCCGGGCCAGGCAGTCGAACGGGGGCCGCTTCAGTTTCCCTCTAAGTGACGCGGAACAGCGTCCGCGCAGAAGAGCGTCCCGGCGGAAGCACCAGCTAAGCGTACTTGGGTCCAGCAGTTACTACGTCACGAGGGGGCGGGACGGGGGCGGGGCCTTTGCGAATCCGAAGCCCCGCGAGCCCGGCCCTTCGCGCGAGCTCAGTTTGGAATCTCGGTTCCCCCTGGCGTGCTAGGTGGGTGGAGCTGTGCAGGCGTTTAAGATGCTATAAAGCTCTATGGATGAGGCCAAGAGGGAGACCGAGTATCCTCATGAGGTTTATGTTCTGGAGGGGCTCAACAGGCGATTAACTCATGACAGAATGAAGAGGCTGATTTCACAACGTTATTATTGCAGTAAAGAAAACAAAATGGGCGGGGCGCCGGTGACTTAACTCCTGTAATCCCAGCTACTTGGGAGGGCCAGGTCAGTCAAATAGCTCCAGAGACCCTATCTCCAAAAATAACCAGAGCAAAACGGACTGGTGATGTGGCTGTAGAGCGCCTGCCTAGGAAGCGCAAAGTCGTGTGTTCAAACCCCAGTTCCCCCCAAAAAGTAAATGAAAACTGGAAGGGGGAATGGAGTGAATTTCATCAAAGTACATTATGTTTATGTATATATATATATAGATATCACAATGAGACCCGTTTGTACAATTAATATATGCTAATAAATTTTTTTAAAAAGAAAACAAAATAGGGCATGACGGCACACGTCTGTAACCCCAGCACTATGGAGGGTGAGGCAGGAGGATGAGGAGTTTGAGGCTAGCCTGGGCTACATAGCAAGATCCTGTCTCAAAACACAAAAATCCTAAGAAAACAAAACTGGACAATATCAGAGAAAATGACCACATGGAACCTGTTTTAGATGAGGGGATCAGGGAAGGTGTCCCTGAGGGTAGCAAGTGGGCTGAAATCTGAGATTTAGGAAATGCTGTTCCAAACAGAGCATAGCAAGTGCAAAGACCCCACAAGACTAAAAAGTACCTGGTACCTTGTGTGCTTGCTATACATACTGATTTTGAATGAACAGAGGTCTTCCATCAAGGGTGACTTCAGTTTATCTCTATTCTCACCTGATGTCGCTCTGTCCCATTCACTACTCCAAGAACTCAGGGCCTCACTCTTTATAGACAGGCGCTCTACTGCTTGAGCCACTCCACTAGCATTCATTTTTTTACTTAAAAAAATTTGTTTTTGGCAATGCTGAGGTTTGAACTCAGGGCCTCATGTTTGCTAGGCAGGTGTTCTACTGTTTGAGCCACTCCACCAGCCCTGTTTTTGTATTGGGTATTTTTGAGATAGGGTCATGTGAACTACCTGCCTAGAGTGGCTTCGAACTCTGATCCTCCTGACTCTGCCTCACAGGTAGCTAGAATTATAGGCATGAGCCACCAGCACCCGGTTCTCCAATTATTTTAAAAGTCCACTTTGCTGCCTTTACATATTAAGAGCTCTCTCCCTCTGTGGGACTGGGGTTTGACCTCAAGGCTTCATGCTTGCAGAACAGGTGATCTTAAAGGCACTTTCAGAGCAGGCTCTCCACCACTTGAGCCACACCTCTAGTCCACTTATTCTGGAGATGGGGGGTCTTTGGAACTGTTTTCCTGGTCTGGCCTCCAACCTCCATCCTGCCGATTTTAGCCTCCTAAGGTGTGATCCACCAGTACCTGGCTACTAAGTTCTTTCTCTTGCCTCCTATCCTTTGCTTAAGTATCCCTTTCTGGAATTCCTTTCCAAATACTTTTTTCTATCCTAATACCGAATCAATTTATAATATCCAATTCAAACATCATTTCTGAAAGCCTTTCCTGATCCCTCCCCTCAGCTCTCTATTGGTTCTCAGCTTTATCACAATTTATCATTGCGATTGTCAGTTTATAGTTGACCTCAAAGACTGAGAGGTCTTTAAAGGCAGAAGTAGGTCGTCTTTACCTTTGTCTCTTCAACACCTAACACAGTCTGGCACCCAGCATGAGAATTGGAGTCCCTACAAAAGCCGTAGATTGACATCTTTTCTGTCCCCCAATGTGATGGTTATAGGAGGTGGGAGGCCTTTGGGAGGTAAAGTCAAAGAGGCAGAGCCCTCATGAATGGGATCCATATAAAAGAGCCACTCCACCTGCTTCCACCATGTATGGACACAGAAAATGTAATCCATGAACCAGAAAGGGGTCATTAAGTGCCCTCACCAGATACTGCATCTGTTGGTGCCTTGATCTTGGGCTACCAGCCACTAACACTGTAAAAAATACATTTATGTTGTGACCCGTTTATGCTATTTAAAAAAATAGCACAAACAGACTAAGGTAATCTGAATTGACAATTATCCAGAACCGTAAATTGACGAGTTACAGTACTGGTTATACTTCTATCCCTAAATCTAATTGTTTTTCAGCCCCATGATTTCAAGTCAACATATAAAAGTATTGTCTGGGCCTGTTTCACTCAAATGAAATGTAAGACTTGTGATTCTGATTCTAGCACATCTTTACTTGCCAGGGTTCTCTCAATCAGGGAGGACAAAGACATTGTCAAAAGAAACTATTAGTCAACACTGGGCACAGGTATTTAAACTGGAAAAAAAAATTGGATTGGGGATATACCACAGTGGTACAGAACTTGCTTAGCATGTGCAAGGCCCGGGGGGCGGGGGCCACAAAAATCCCCAAAACACTGGCTGACAGCTGACATTTTGAAGCAGGATGTGGTGGTCGGTGCCTGTAGTCCAGAACTAGGAGGCTACGGCAAAAAGATCTTATCAAGTCTGAGCTTCGCTATCAGCCTCAGTATTTCGATGTGAGAAATGAAGAAGGCCCCTGGCAGAGATGAGTTCCAGGTTGGAGAATCCAGGACTTCGGCAACCAGCACCGCAGAGACATCACTGCCCACGCTTCACAGCAGTGAGAAGACGTTGCCGGCAGGAGCCTCCTAGGCTTCCGGGTTCGGGGCCCAGCGCGTGGCACCACGTGACTCACCCTTGCACCACGTGATCCAGACCTTGTTTTTTTTTTTTTTTAACCCCGTCCCTCTCGCACCCCGCCCCCCCTCCACCCCGGGGCTCCGCCCAGCTCGCGCGTTCACGCCGCTTCCGGTATGGGCGGAAAGCGGAAGTGTGGGAGGGTCTGCGGGGCGGGCCCCGGGAGGTCCAGGGAGGATGGAGCAGTGAGCGGGACTGGGTTGCTGCCGGCACCGCCATGGAGACCGTGCAGCTGAGGAATCCGCCGCGCCGGTGAGAGGACACTGGCTGAGAGGAAGGGTAGAGGCGAGGGAGGTCAGGGCGAGAACTGGCTGAGGGGAGACACCTGTGTGGGAGCCCCTAGAGGGAAGGGACCTGCGGGGCGAGGCTCCCGAGGCTGCTGGGCACCTGCTGAGTGAGGGCTAAGGGTCCGGCTGAGGGCACCCTCTGCGAGGGATAAATGTGGGGCTGGTTAGAGGGAGCACTGGCTTTGGGGGACTCTCGCGAGGAACGTGCGGACAAGTCAGAGAGAGCACCGGCTGAGGCCGGGCCCCGTCCGAGGATGGCTCTCCCAGAAGAGACGCACAGAGGTAGCGGGGATGCTGAGGCCAAATGAGAACCTGCGAGGGGTCTGACTAAGGGGATGAGCGAGAACTATCAGGGAACAAGGCGAGTGGACTTTCTAAGGGTCTTAAGTCCCACATAAGGGTGCAGTGGGGAATGCTTTGCCTCTAAGACTGAAATGTGCAAAAAAAAAAAAAAAAAGGTCTAGTAGTGGAGAGAGCGTGGAGGATACCGTGTAGAGGATGCTTTTGGTGTCCCCACTCGAGGATGATGGTGACATCTATCATTACTATTGCTCTGAGTACCTTCCTAATTTTCTCCTCCTCCTCCTCAGCCCTTCAGAACCCAGTATTGGGAGGTAGATAAAGGAAATAAGATACTTTCGGGATAGGCACCATGAGGTTCAGAAGAGTTGAAATACATGGACCCAGCCAGACTGTGCCACTTTCAAGCTTTTGTTGTATGATTATCAACTCCAGAGCCTAGTGGTACCTGGGATGGTTTTGGGTTAAGAGTGGGAAGATTGGCTGATCCTACAAAGTCTGAACTCCTGGGTTGGTTTCCCCTGGGGACATCCGAGACTTAGGCTACTCTGCCACATCTGGAAAAAAGTAGAGGCGTGGGTTGGTTTTCCCTGGGGACACCCGAGACTTAGGCCACTCTGCCACATCTGGAAAAAAGTAGAGGAGTGGAGACTGAGGGTGTCATGCTTCTTTGAGGTACAGTATAGTTAATTTCTGTTTCGCAGAGAAAACATCTGACTTCCTGCCTCAGAATGAGCGCTGAAGTAGGAAGTGTTTAGTGTGTGTGAGTGCTGGGCAATCAGAGATGAAGGAAGGGGAATTGACAGCCTGCCCAGTACTCTGGGGGTTTGTTTGAAGTGAATAATTGCAGAAGGCAAATAGCTTGTTGGGGTGGGCTCTTGATTAACCTAGTGTAGTGTGCTGCGACTATAATAGCAATGATTCTTAGTACTTAACGGGGTACCAGCCACTGTTCTAAGGGGTTTCAGGGTCTCCTGTTGAACCAAATGAAATTGATGAGATTTAACCATTTTTGTAACTTTATGAAAATGGTAGTTTCATATGGTTCAATTTAATGACTCATTGGGCAATTATCGTATGAAGTGGATATTTCTATATCCCTGTTTTGCAGATGATAAAACTGAGGCACAGAGGCTAGTGATTTACTGAAGGTCCCCTAGCTAGTTAGAGGCAGAGTTGGGATTTTAATGTCCATGTGGTCTGGTCCAAAGTCCATGCTCTTTACTGCCTCACTCAGATGCATCTCTGGAAATACTTTGTTTTTATAGATCATTTGTTAGCAGATATTTACTGTAGCACTATAATCAATTGTAAGTATACATTGGTCATTGTTTTTCTAAGATACATTTGTTTTTTCTGTTTGGTTTCTTTTTTCCTAGGCTTTCGTTTAATTGAAAAGAGGATTAGGAATCTGGGTTTTGTTTCTCCCTTTGCCTCATGTTATGTAAACTTAGGCAAAGATGTTTTGTTTTTTGACATAGGTGCTCATTCCTATACCTTTTGAAATTTAAAAAGTAATAAAAGTGCAAGAGAAGAGCATTATAGGACTGACTTCTTGGATAATTGGTACTCTTGCTCATTCTAACTACTTGACTGCCTAATTTGATGCAGAATTTTATTATTTGTCTAAGTTCGTTAGGACTCCCATAACTAAAGTATCACACCTGGGTGGTTTAAACAACAGAAATTTATTTTCTCTCAGTTTTGGAGCCTGAAAGTCTAAAAGGAAGTGTGGTGGCAGGGATGTTTTTGAGACCTTTCTCTTTGGCTTATAGATGGCCATCTTCTCTCTATCCCTTCATATGGTCTTCTCTCTGTATCTGTTTGTGTCCTCTTAAAAGGACAGTAATCATTGGATTAGGTTCCACCTGTGTGACCTCATTCTACCTTAATTATCTCTTTAATGGGCCTATCTCTAAATATAGTCACATTCTGAGGGAGTAGGAATTAGGACTTCAACATATGAATGGGGGACATTTAAACATTTTCAATTCATCTTACATATTTTTTGTAACCTATGTTTAATTCTGTTTGGGGAAAGTGGCACATATATATGAATAAAATGAACCGCTAGAGAATTCTGAGATGGGAAAAAGATTTTAGAGTTAGCCAGACTTCTGAGTGAACACTTCATAAACAACATTATTTTGAGTCTGGAAAGATACAGGTGTATTGTCAAAGATTCAGATGGTATGTATTTCCAACAGTCCCAGTGCAGGACATGCTGTGTATGTTCATGAGTTTGGCATTGTCTATGACTAAATGAATAATAGACTGTATCTTATATGCAAGTTAGTAATTTTTAAAAGTGAGTTGCTATTAAGTAATGGTGTGCTGGAAGGTGTGGAGTGCATTCCTAGGATGCTGGCCATCTCCATGGCCATCTGACTTAGGAGAGGAACATCCACCACTGTTTGGCCAGGCCTGTTTATTATGAGAATCGCTAAAAAGCTGCCTCCAACCTGGGGAAATTCCAGCTGAGAGAGTCACATCATCGAAGCCTGACTGCTATGGTAATTGTATTTGTTTCATGAAGGCTCATGGTGTAAAATACCAGTACGAGTCATGTACCAAGATTTTCCATAACAGTCTTATTTGTTGGTAATCTAATACATTTTAGATGAAATTCTGTTTAATTTTGGTAACTCAGAGATTGCAAATGAACTTTATGAGTCCCATCATAACATTTGTTGATCCATTTAGCAGATATTTTTTGACTGCCTCTTGGTTATCAGACACCAGCGAAATATAACTGCTTCAGGTTCAAATTGTTTTAAATAATTCCAGGTAAAAAATAAACAAAAAACCCACTTAGATGCTTTAAAGAAGTATGTAAGCAGTCATATAAAGTTTGTCAGTATTATCTGAGTCTTGCAACTGTCTCTCTCATGACAGTAGCAGTTTCCTTTGTTTTATTCTGTGGTCTCTGATAGCTAAAATAGTGAGTTTTACTTTATGTAAACTTTAAGAGTTAACAATTCAAAGAAACACATTTGATCTTTTACATAAGCTGTTTCTGAAACTTTATACTTGATTAATGAGGTATTGTTCGTTGTTTATACTGTTATAATCTGGGGGTTTACCCAGAACCCTGGCATAGGGGTTCATTCTAATTTCTGAGTTCATAGAAATTTCAGTTCTGAAGTTTAAGAGGCGTTTCACTTCAGCCCAGCTGGGAGTTTTTATGATGTCACTGGAATTTAATTTTTAGGATCTTTTGATTTTTCAAAGGTCAGTGTGGTCGTAGTGTTTTGTTGATCTTCAAGCTAAAGCAAGTTAAGAGATTGACTTTTTGTAGTTCTCCACTTCCTTAATATGAGGTCCTTGATGTTTATAAAGTTCTGTAAGATTGTCACTTTTAGGTCAGGGTTTATTGGTAGACACATTTATGGCCAGGTTTTTTTTTTTTTTTTTGTCTTCTGATTTTGATATTTTTTTAGGAAAATGTGTGTGTGTGTGTGTGTGTGTGTGTGTTTACATTCAAGCCACTTCTTGTAAGAATTGGTATTGTCTAGCTAGTTGAAACCCTTTTCTTTACATGAAGTATACAGTGTGACTACTTCCATATTTCACCATTTCCTGAGCTTTGTTTACTTTGTTGTCCTTTGCAGTTTCAGGAAGTCAATGTGTAGAAAACACACACACGCACATGCATATACACAAATGTTCCTTAGCAAGGTCTTTAATTCTGTTAATAATTTTTAGAGGTTTCAGAGTTTTAAAAAATGATGCGAGTTAATAATCACCCATATTTTCTGTGATCGTCTAGCATCATCAGTAAAATCTGAACAGTCTGGGAGTTGTAAGCAGCAGCATAGCTTTGATTTTTGGGACTAGTCAAAGGTACATGTCTATTCATGGTCTTAGAAAGACTGCTTAAACTTCCAGCTGCCAAGTTATTTTTCACTTTTGCTCATAGCTAAATGTTCACTTCCCATTTTCCATTTCTGTAATACCTAGAGAAATTAACGTGTTTTGACAAAATTACTAAAGCCTTGCTGATAGACAGCAAAGATCTATGTCTTCTTTGGCCACTAGTTCAATTCATGTTTCAATGCATAGTTAATACTACATTAGTGTCTTTTCTGAAGAGATAGCTGTGTTATCTTAATTCATGAAATCTCAAGACTTAAGTGGATTCTAAAAGATTTATTGAATGCTTGAACTCACCTTGCAGTATTTTAGCCACATGACATTTTGATTTCTGATTAAATTTTCTAACTATGGGTAACTTAGGACCCCTTAAGGCAGTCTAAATCATCATAGGACAACTTCTTTTGCCAGAAAATTCTTACATATTTTGAATTGAAGTCTGATTCCTGGCAGCTCTTCACTTTCTGGTCTTGATTTTGCTCATCAGGCAACCTAGAACAAGTTTAATCCTCCCATAGAATAATCCTTCAGTGTTCCTCAAAAGGCTCTTAGAGCCAGGATGGCACATACTTGTAATCTCAGCACTTGAGAGACTGAGACAGGAGGATTTCGAGTTTGAGGCCAGCTTGGGCTATATAATGAGACCCTATCTCCAAAAAACCCCCAAAAACTTTGTTTGCCTTTGTTGTTGTTTCCTAATGAAGACTTAGAAGAGAAATTCCCAGGGTTAATAAAATAAGTAATATGTTTTATGTTTTTATTTTCTGGCGGACCTTTAGCCCAATATATTTTATGTTTTATTTGCTAGCAAATAAAATGTATTTTGTGTTTACATTTCTTCATTCATAGGCAGCTGAAAAAGTTGGATGAAGATAGTTTGACTAAACAGCCAGAAGAAGTGTTTGATGTTTTAGAGAAACTTGGAGAAGGGTAAGTGTAGATTAAATATAGGTATGTCAGTGGGTCCCAGTCTATTTTTCTGCCCCAGCACCTGACAGCACCCGACAGAACTTTCTTATTGCAAAAACTCTCAAACCTGAGCAAAAGAAAGAGGAATGTTGCATATCAATATGGCTGTAGGGAGGATGGAAGATGTGGTGACTCCCAGTCTTCAATACGATTCTTTTCTCTTATGCAAACTGTGGTATGTATGATTATATGTAGTTAATAGATAATACTAATTAGATTATAATTCATTAAGTTTTTTAAAATTTATTTTTATTTATTTATTTTTTTTGGGGGGGTGTCCTGGGATTTGAATTTAGGGCTTCATGCTTGCTAGGCAAACATTCTACTGCTTGAACCACATTTCTAGCACCATTAGGTTGTTAAGAATCAAATATAGATACTTTTATTTGCTAATCATAGCTTCTGACTGGTGTGTAATAATTGTGGCTTCAATAAAAAAATGAAATTCAGCATTTTAATTATTGTAGCTTTCTGAAATACAGTCAATAAATGAAGGACTGTAACCACTTTTAGAGGTTTCTAGGAGATCCAAAACGTAAATTGGGAACCGGTATATTTCTTAAAATACAGACTTGTTTTGGGTGCTGGTGGCTCACATTTGTGATCTTAGCTACTTGGGAGCCTGAAATTGAGAGGATCATGGTTCAAGGCCAGCCTAGGCAAATAGCTTGGGGACCCCCCGCCCCACTTCTAAAACAACCAGAGCAAAATGGACTGGAGGTGTGACTCAAGTAGTATAGAATGCCTGCTTTGCAAGCACGAAGCCCTGAATTCAAATAGCTACCCCCCAAAAAGAAATACAGACTTGTGAATGAGTTCATAGAATACTGCAGAAATGATGCTTTGTAATAGACAGTGGCTATCAATGACTTTCATGATGCAGTAGGGAGTACATCATAATTTATTATACGTTTATATACCTTTTTAATTTTATTATCTTTATTTATTCCTGCTTCTTTAATGACCAGAATATTAAAATATTAGGATAACCTTTTCTTTCTTTCTTTTTCTTTTGCGGTACTGAGGTTTGAACTCAGGGCCTCACACTTGCTAGGCAGTCACTCTACCACTTGAGCCACTCCTCCAGCCTGGCATGTTTTCTTAAGCTTTTGTTGTTAACTTTTGAGTAGGTAACAAATTCATGTTTCACATATAGTTTATGTATATATGTAAGCAAGTGTGTATGCATACATACATGAATTTTTAATCCCTTAGCAGTACTTCTTGTTCAAGAGAAGACCTGACATACTAACTTGTAAAAATGTTTTCTGTCTAATGACTGTATACTCTTTAAAGTCAGCCCCCAAATTGTTTTGGGGGCTAGGGTTATTTATACCTACAATAGATCTGCAGTAATGTCAAGTTTAATCCTGAATTACATGGAATAGTTTTTCATGGATTACCTCCTTGTGAAAAACATTAGTCTTCAACTCTCTGTAAGTTGGGAAAATACTCTTTGGAATCCAGCAAGAAATCAAGCAAAGAAGGGAAGGAAAAGATAACATCAGCTTTGCTGCCATAAGACAAGTCCAGGATGACTGAACACTGCCAGTTGACTGGAACCATTAAAGGTATGGGTTGGTGACAGTCACTCTACATCTCTTGCCTGTCCCATTTTTAGCTTTAGCTTGGCATTCTTGCTGTTTCCCTTAAGGCAGTGTATCCATGGCCCTTAATCATAGGTTATACTTGGAATAAGATATACTGGTAGGCGTAATTGTTTATGTAACTAACTTGTTTTTTCCATTTTCAATGAAAGTATGTTAACAGTAGTAAGAATGTAGTCTATTGAAATCATATAGTCATAGGTTAAAACTCTTGCTCTATTATTTATTAGTCATAATAAACAATTGAGCTTCAGCTTAATGTTTTGGAAACTTTCAGTCCTCATCTGTAAAATGAGGGTAATAATAGTGTCTATTTCATAAGGTCATGGCAAGTATTACATGTGACAATAAGGTTAAAACATTAAGTACAGTGCTTGTCACATAGTAAGTGCTCAGTAAGTCACAACTATAACTACTTTTAAGTGTATCAACTAAAGCATTTTCAGACCATATCATATCAAATCAAAGTTAAATCTTAAAGTATGCTTAGATGTTCTTATAGGTGACTTTGGATTGATTGTCCTTGGGGAATGTCAAAAGAAAACTATAGACAGAATATGTCAGTAATATAATGTAAGAAAAAACTAAGCTATTAATGATTTTTAAAAATTGTATTTTAGGTCTGTGAATGGCTTCAGCAGAAAACTTGGAAATTTCTCCATAAAGATATCACCAGGGAAGAAAAAAAAAGGCATCAATTCCTTTTTTTATGCTGTCACCTTTTTGCTTTTTCAAATGATACCATAGATACTTGGATTTCTATCATCCAGACTTAACCTGAGCAAGTTGCATGGAACTAGCAAGCTCCTGAAGGAAGACCTTAACTGCACTTCCTTTCTAAACAGAAAATGCCATGACATCCTTAAATGTTTCTGAAGAATGAATGGATTGTGAACTCTCACTGACTTGTGTCTTGTGCAATGAGCTTCTCTAAAAGAACTGTGTTGGATTCTGGAGGCTGCAGTCTTCCTCTGTTTTGAGGAAGTCGTGTGGATCTGTGGCAGGACAGCCATAGCTTGAACCAAGATGAGTGGGGAACAGTCAAATTGGATCCTGGCACCTTTTGACTTCTATTTACTGAAAGTTTTACACATTGACTTATTTAAGTTTTTATCATAGGATAGCAAAAGCATCAGGCTTACGGTTTCATTGCTAATGAGTGGTACTATTTAGCTTGGCCTCAGGGACTATTATTTCCATTACATTGATTTCTGCTTTGTATGGCTTTCTGACATACCTACTTCATTATGTTTGTTCTTTGTTTTGTTAGTTAAACTTCATTTAATTATTTAGTTTTCATTGTAGGGAATCTGGTGTTGAGGGACTTGCCTATAAGTGCTAAAATCTTCTAACTCTTCTTCATATTACTATAAGTATAGTATGTGGAATCATGAATCTTTGTTCATTGCTCATATGAGCTATTGGAGTTTTCTTTGCTATCAAGGTAGCATAGGAAGGTTAAGACAATTGTTTCAGTACATTGCTGAGTGAGGGTTTTCAGAGCTCTCTCCATATCTAATACATAATGGGTAAAAATTCTAAATATTTAATTCTTAATATAAAGAATGGTTAAATAAATATATCATTTATAATAAGAATACATAGACAGATAAGGAGTGGGGATATAAAAGCATCTGTCATAGTAAGAGGAAAGACAGATAGTCCTGTCCTCTCAGGAGATTGCAGTTAGGCTTTGTACATAAAGTTATGAGCTGAGACTAGGGTTGTCTCCTGAATTAAAGCTGAAATAAAGGGCAGATAGAATGGCTCAAGTGCTAGAATGCCAACCTAGTAAGCCCGAGGCTCCGAGTTCAAATTCCAGTATCACTTAAAAAAAAAAAGGAGGATACTTACAAAAAAAAAAAAAGCTGAAATAAATTTGCCTGACTATTAGAAAGTGTCATTTGCTTGTGACCTGAAGAAAAAGTGAAGGTACCAATTTGACAATAGGAACAGGAGTCAGCACTATATTTTGAATGGCAAGACCCCCAAAATCCTAATGTAAGACCTGGTTCAAGTAGTCTAGCTCATACCATACTGATCATTGTGGCTCCCTGCCATTTCGTTCTGTCTCATCACATGTTAGGGCTCAGAAGCAGTGGAGCCAGGTGAACATGTACTGATACTACATTTGATCTTAGCCAAAAGGTGGAGAAGTTGACCATGAACTGAAACCTCTGCGATTGTGAGCTGAAATAAATTCTTTCTCCTTTAAGTTGTTAATGTCAGGTATTTTGTCAGAGCCACAGAAAGCTGACTAATACAAAAAGTTAAAAGATGGGAATAACAGCCTTGAAAGAAGAACGGTAGATTAACATGAACAGTTGACTTAGTGAAAAAATTAAAGCTTGAGAATCTTGAAAATGAAAACTTCAATTATTGAAGTTTTCAAAGCCCAATAATTTGGTAAATAGTAACTAGATGATCTGAAGAACCTTTTTAATAGAACAATGGAAGTGAGACCATAAATGAGTCTAATCACAAAATGCAAGGCACAGGAATACAGTTGGGAAACCATGAGTGTCATTGGCTCAGTAGGAATTCTAGAAGGAGATATTAGAAGAGAAAGATGTAATAGAGAATGCTGAGATATTCCCATACTTGAATGACATGAAAAAGACACTCAAGAAATTCAAGTAAATCAACTGTAGTTTTAGTAAAATTGTAAGATGTTAAAGACAAAGAAGACATTAAGAGCTATGAAGAGATTACCTCTGAAGAGTGAAAATCCAACAAATGCAGACATCCCAGGAACAGTAGATACTGAAAATGACAATAAAAATGCTGATGGAAAGCTATTGTTGAAACAATTCTCCAGCAAAATGTCATTCCAGACTGAAGCTGAAAGACATTTTGGATGTATGGGATCTAGTGTATCAATACCTTTGGGAGCTGGGGCTGGTGACTCATGCCTATAATCCTAGCTTTTCAGGGGACAGAGATCAGGAGGATCACAGTTTGAAGCCATCCAGACCCTATCTCGAAAAACCCATCACAAAAAAGGACTGGTGGAGTGGCTCAAGGTGTAGGCCCCAAGTTCAAGCCCTAGTGCCACAAAAAAAACAAAACAAAACAAACTTTGGATGGGAATAATAGTATCCAGCTGACAGTGGCTAACTTACAAAGGCATTTTATAACATAATAAATAAGAGATTCCTGAAGTGGGTGATTGACTCAATAATGGTTTGGTATAGGCAGTTCACATAGTCTCAAGCTGGTTCCATCAATTTCATGCATCATTCCTCACATGTCAGTAACGAAACAAGAAGGGAAGTGACAAGTGAAAATGCGCCTTCTCTTGTGCTTGTCTTACCTGGTAAGAAAATCTTTCCCAGAAACTGTTCAGCAGAATTCCAGTCAAATACTGGCCAGAACTAGGTCAGATGCTAGCTACTACTTCAGTCGCTTGCTTAGCCTATCATGATTTATCCCTTGGTACCAAGTGCATCGCCATCCTAACTCAGTTATTTTAGCAGGGAAGAAAGGGCAGTCGTTGGGTTGTTCACACATGCTCAGCTCTTGCCTTTCTAATGTCAAAGTATTTGATACCATGTTTAAGCATCATTATATTAGTTTTGTAAACAAGGGATTGTGATGGCACTTTCTATGTGGTCTGCATAGACTTTTTAAACTTTTATGTTACTTTGACATTGGGTATAATTCTTGAGCATCTTTGGCAGCTAGAGTGTTCTGCTAGTTTGTGTCACTAGTCTATTAAGTGTAACTGTTACTTTGATTTTTTTTTTCACCAAGACAGTATTTAGAACAGGTGTGCTTGGGAAAATATGAAAGACAATTTGCAAATTATTTCACTGAGAACTGCTTAGAATTCTAATGAAAAGTCTTTGTAATATTCTGATGCTATTTCATTTGCTCTTCATAAATGTCTTGGGGGGACAGTATTGGGATTTGAATCCAGGACCTTGTGCTTGCTGGCTGTACACTTGAGCCATGTCCCCAGCCCTCTTCATAGTTGTTTCATAAGGTTGTTTGCACTTTTATTATTTGTTTTTTGAAAAACTGGGGATTGAACCCAGAGCCTCAGCATGTTAGGCAAGCACTCTACCATTTGAGCCATGCCCTGCACTTTTGTCATTTTACAGATAAAAAATTGAGACACAAGGAAGCTAATAATGTGTTGTTAAGTAATAGATAATGTAGTGGAGATAGGATTCCATTCTAGGTATTTTTATTCTAATGTTTATGTAGTCCCAAAATTGAATGGAGATACACATTTTTTATTTATTTTGATAAATAGGAAAGATTATAGAAGGCAAAAAAGATTTATATATGTACTGCTTATCTGATACTAGCATTAAAGAAGCTTAGATTTTAATTCATTTCCTTAACATTTTAAGCATTGTTGCAAGCAAGAGGAACAAGGACAGAAAGAGCTTGTGGTACTAGAGTAAATGTAAGAAAACAAATACTTCCATATTTTACCCCAATGTAGTTGCGGAGAGAAGGTAAGCATTGTATTCAGACACCTGGGTTCAACTCCTGAGCTAACCTCTTATTTATCACTTATGTAACCTTGGGCAAATCATGTTACCTTTCTGAACTTACTTACATTTACTTGTAAAATCACCTCTTCTCTGTTCTTTTTGTAACGGTGAGTTGAGATGAATTGAAGTTTCTAGTAGACATCAGGCATGCAAGCTATTATTATTTCATAATAATTCATTCTTAAGTTTAGATGTGGTTTTAAGGTAGCGTTTTTTTCCCCCAAAGCTGTCTCAGTTTTGCAAGTACACACACACACACACACACACACACACACACACACACTCACTTAGGGATATAAATTAGAGTTGCTTGTGTTATACTACTTCTTACCTCTTGGCTTGCTTTGCTTTGGGTGTGTAAATGTTCTTTTTCCTTCCATTGTAGGTCCTATGGCAGTGTGTACAAAGCTATTCATAAAGAGACTGGTCAGGTTGTTGCTATTAAACAGGTTCCAGTGGAATCAGACCTGCAGGAGATAATCAAAGAAATATCGATAATGCAACAATGTGACAGGTAAAGACAGGTGGGGTTTCTTTGGAGAAAACATGGCTTTGGGTTTGCTGTGATTATTTAGAGTTTAACACCTAGATTCACTGATTTCTATATTTTGTAGAAGGGAGAGGTCAATGACATCACTATACATGTTCTTTATGTTTTTGTAACTAAACTTTTCTAGTTCCTATAAAATATTTTTCTTCAAGAATAAGCTCTTTTAGAAATTAGGAAGGGGAGGAAGGGGGAGAGAGGAGGTGGCACAAACAATGTATACACATATAAGTAAATGTAAAAACAAAATAAACAAAACAAAAAAACTAGGAAGAGCCAGAGGGTGCTGGCTTTTTTTTAGATAATTATCTCTTTTACTTCCTATTAAGAAACACTTTTTTTTTTTTTTAATTTCCTGCAGAGATCACTAAGACAAAACTCAAATTCTTTTTAGGTTTAGAAACTGTAGAATATTAGATTGGTCTATGAAAAAAAATTTCTTTTTTAGGTATTACTGTTCCTTCCTTCATCTTAAATTGTTTAAGTCGAGAGTAATTATTTTATTTTTGAGGAACTAAGATATGTCAAATTCTGTAGGCAGGAAGTCAGCCCAAACGTTGACCACAAAAAATCACGTGGTGTGCTCACAATATGGGTTGATCACTATGATGGAGCAGGCTTCTCCAGCACTATTTAGATTTGAGAGAAGAATGAATTTAAGGGAATGCCAGCTCTAGGGAGTTGGAAATGGGAATGAAAAAGTTTTGTGCTTGAGGCTGCATAATTCTTCTGATTTCTTCTTGGTCAGATCAACTGAGTGTTTCAACAATGGAGAAGGTGGGAAAACCTAGCCGAAAATTTGCCCAGAAGCTCTTAAGTCTTACAGACTTTGAATGCAGGCATTTCTCATATTATCAAATATTCCTCTATAACATTTTTCATGGATTCATTATGTTTATTATATGCATATATCATTCTTTCTTAAATAAACTCCATAATGTTGAATGAACATTTAAATGATATCTAAATTTTCACTTTTGTTAATAGTTCTTTGTTGGTAACTACACTTTGAAACCTTGGTTAAAGTACCCACCCATTTTTTGCACTTTTTATCATTCTTTGATGTTTGTTTGTTTGTTTTTGGTATGAACTGGGGTTTGAACTCAGGGCCTCATGCTTGCTAGGCAGGCCTTCTTACCGATTGAGGTAAGCCCTTTTTATTACTCTTTGAATAAGTAATCCTATTTTACATTCTTATCAGGAGATCACTCATTTTAGCCTTCACTAAGAATGATTGATCTTTTGATGAGTAGTTTTTATATATTTAACAGAATGAATTCATAATTAAAGGCCATTCCATTTACTTGTATTGTGTCTCTCCCCAGCCCTCATGTAGTCAAATATTACGGCAGTTATTTTAAGAACACGGACTTGTGGATTGTTATGGAGTACTGTGGGGCTGGTTCTGTATCTGACATCATTCGATTACGAAATAAGACGGTAAGTTTCCTTCCAGAAGAAGCTATTGAGCCACTCCTCTTATGCCGTCTTCTTTTCTCTGGCCTTTTATTCATGTACTTCTGGTGCATGTCTAGAGAGAACTCTCAAATTCCCGCCTTTACAGGGCTCTTTGTTCTTCTTTACTCTTATCTCCTGAATGTGACAGTTTTGAAACTACTTCAGTCGAGTGATTTTTCACATGCTTTATTTATTTATTGTTTAATTTTGGTTTGGATTTTTCTTCTACCTAGAATGTTCACAGATTAACTTTCTCTACTTTCTGCTAATCAGAGAATAATCTTACTATAAAAGATTATTAGCTGTTACTGTGATTGATGCTAAGACATAACAGTCATGGGTTCTGGTTCTATTTCAGTTGCTTAAACTATTTATCGTTCAGTAAATACTTCTGGAATGGTGCTTGAGGCCTTAGAGATTCAGTAATAAGTGAAACAAGAAAACAACTCTGCGTTCATGGTAGCACACTTTCTAGTAGGGTAACAAAAGGCAAATATCTCATAACTAGAAAAGCGGTACCATATAGTGGTAAATGCTGTGAAGAAAATGAATGAGGATGGGGTGATGGTATAGTACTGTAGATGCTTGATGGGTTATTATAGTGCAGTAGAAGGTTGAGAAAGGTCATTCAGAAGAGGTAACATTTCAAGTAAGGTGTGAATGATAAGGAGGGAATAATCAATGCAGAGATCTTTTAGCATGTTTGAATGTTAGAAAGAAAGCCACTGCGAGCAAAAGAGAATAGACAAAGGGGAAGGGCACCGTAGGAGATTGGTTAGATAAGTGAGCAGGGCTTGATTATGTTAGGTCTTGTAGATCATGATGATGTGGCTAAATTTAATTCCAAGTACAATGTAGGAAACCATTGATGGGTTTGAAGAGAGTGAGAGAGCCATCTGATTTTTTATTTAAAAAGATAACTAGCTTCTCTGTAGATTCTGAGTGGATAAGAGTAGAAATGGGAAAGTTTAGCCTTATTTTTTGCCTCAATAAGAAAAATAAAGAATATCCGTATGAAGTATTTGTGAAGTTGTGAAAACTTAAGTATATAGAAGTATGTTGTAAACTATGATGTATTATACAAATTACAAGGTGGGGACTACTTTGAAACTCTGTCATAAATTTTGGATTATTTATACTGAAACTGGATTGTTGATCTCAAGTGTCCTGGGGAAATTGGTGATTGAAGACTCTGGACCAGGAGTTAAGAGTAAAGCAAGCACAAGTTTGTTGACAGGGTAGCAAAGTCCCTTATATGGGAGGGGCTTTGGTAGGGTGTGAGCAGATCTGGCTTACATTTTGAAAGGTTTGTTGGGGCTTCTGTGTGGAAAATACACTATAGAGAGTCAAGAGCAGAAGTGACAAAAACAGGAGACTAATAGAATAGTTCAGGCAAGATGTGGTAATGACTTGAATTAGGGTGATTACAGAGGATATATTTTGAACATGGAGAAGAATAAAGTCACCTTTTACTGAGAGAGTAAGCGATGTGGGCAAAGTAGAGTAGTTCTGGTTGGGAGGTGGGAGAGGGCTAGGGTGGAGATAGAGCTAATATTCTTTTTATACAGTTCTGGGGGTTGGATCCAGGGCCTTCACACTTTTTAGACAAATGCTCTACCACTTGAGCTATGTCCCCCAGCCCAGAAATAAAGAATTTGATTTTGACATGTTCTGCTTATGATGCTTGTTAGGTATTCAGTTGGAGATGCTCTCAGCAGATACATGAGCCTGATGTTTGGGAAGAAATATGGTCTGAAAATATTACAGAGTGGTCAGCATGAGGGTGGTACTGTAAGCAGCCAAATGCTGCTTATAGGGAAAGGAGTCTGGCTATAACTTCCTTTTTCTAATGTGTGATGTAAACAGATGGCATTTGAGCTTCTCATTCTTTTTTCAGTTAACAGAAGATGAAATAGCTACAATATTACAATCAACTCTTAAGGGTCTGGAATACCTTCATTTTATGAGAAAAATACACCGAGATATCAAGGCAGGAAATATTTTGCTAAATACAGAAGGACATGCAAAACTTGCAGATTTTGGAGTAGCAGGTCAACTTACAGTAAGTAAAAATGTTGCTTGTCATGAAACTTTCAGCCCTGTTCTGAGGAAGCAATTCCTTTTACTTATTTTTAAGATACAGTCTTGATTTAATTGTGTTAGTAAAAAGGTTGTAGAGTCTATGAATACATTACCAAGCTAATCGGTTATTTTAAATCCTTTCTTGGGGTTCAGGTCACATAGTTTAACTTTTATAAAAATGAAAACTAAAACAAGAAATGATAGAGTATTAGTGTAAATTCTATTGGACTATATCAGATTTACAAAAGGAAGAAAAATTAAACCATGCTGCTTCCTTCAGTAAGGCATAGCATCATCCCATTCAGCTTCCAAGTAGTGTTGGACTATCACAGTACTGAATACACTCATGCTTCCAGGATTATCTTTTGGTTCTTCTCCTATCTCTCTAGTACATGGCAGTAAAAAAAGAAACAAAAACTGGGTGCCGATGGCTCATGCCCGCAAACTTCAATTTCAGTTTGAAGCCACCCCAGGCAAATAGTTTGTGAGACCCTATCTTGAAAAAACCCATCACAAAAAAGTGCTGGTGGAGTGGCCTGGCATGCGTGAGGCCCTGAGTTCAAACCCCCAGTGCTGCCAAAAAAAATAAAATAATCTGATCTTGTAATTATCTGATCTTGTAAAATACCAAATATATGTTAAAGTATGTATAGAAAAGTAGAAACAGTTCTAGACAGGTATGCACTCAAATTTACAAAAATATTACATATAGGGGCGTTCTTAGGTGGTAGAATGAACGTGTATGTGTGTGACACAGAGATTGTTTAGAATTAGTTTTATGTACAGTTTTTAGTTTAAATCTGCCTGGAACATATTAGGGCTAGTCTCATAAGTATTGTAACAGCATAGAAATTGCTTTGATGTTTAAAAAAAATCGCTTATTTAATACTATGATTTGTGCACTTTCCAAATGTGGTTGTGTCACAAGTAAACCATATCAAACAGTAATCAAACTAAATCTTAAGGAAATCAAATTGAAAAATATATCCTCCTAGTGCTTTATCAGAATATAATATTAAAATTAAGAATACCCATTACATACAGTAATATTTTTACTGATTGGAGGATTACTCAAATGTTACCTCTAATGTTCTTACTGCTACAATGCCTGCCTTGGCAGAATTCACCTCCCACCCCTCCTTTTTTTTTGGTGGTACTGGGGTTTGAACTCAGGGATTCACACTTGCTAGGCAGTCACTCTGCCACTTGAACCACTCTGCCAGCCCTTTTTTGAGTTAGGCATTTAAAAAAATTTTAAATTTTTAAAATTTTTGTGCTGGGTAGGGGTACATTGTGGCATTTACAAAGGTTCTTAAAATATACCAAATATATCATACTTGAATTCATCCCTCCACCATTCTCCTTTATCCACAACTTCCCATTTGAGAAATAGTTTCATTCGTGTGCATATAGTATTTGTACCATATTCACCTTCTTACACCTCCTCCCTTTCACTGGTATCAACGCCCCGCCTGCCCCAAGGCAGGATTTTGCAAAAGGAAGGAAAAAGAAATGACATTTTTGCTTGTTTAAGATAGCTGCACAGGGAGTTTCTTTGTGGCATGTCCATGTATATATGTATTATAGCCCAATTTGGTTCATTTCCTGTATTTTTCTTCTTTCTATTTTAGTCCCTTTCTTATGGTTGTTTCAGCTAGTTTAAAAATTCTATATTCATTCTTGTATAAAGAGTGGCCTTCCCTTAGCGTGTCCTATTTTTCATAATATTGGTACATTTGTATTAGGTCTATAGTCCACACATGAGAGAAAACGTGATGTATTGGGCATTTTTGAGATAGGGTCTTGTGAACTATTTCCTGGGGCTGGCTTCAAACCTCTATTTTCTTGATCTCTGCCTCCTAAGTAGCTGGGATTATAGGTATGAGCCACTGGTGCCGGGTCTCCATCCCTCTTTAATGTGACATGTCATTCACTGTTTTTAGTGTATTCACAAAATTGTGCAAACTTCACCACTGTCTAATTCCAGAACATTTTCATCATTCTCCAAATAAACCGTACCCATAGCAGTCACTCCCCAGTTTTCCCCCCAGCCCTGACAACCACAAATATACTCTATATCTTTATGGATTTGTTTATTCTGTTTTTTGTTTGGTTAGTTATTTTGGTGATACTAAGGTTTGAATGCTGGACTTTGTGCTTGTTAGGCAAGTGTTCTACCACTTGAGCCACACTTCAGGTTGCTGGATTTACATATTCTTATCATTTCTCACAGGTATATTATGCACTATATTTGACCTTTTGTTTCCTTTTTATTTAACATTTTCCAAGGTTTATCCATGTTGCAGCATGCATTAGCCTGAAGCGTTAATTCTTTCTTCTCTCTCTTTTTTGTGATACAGGGTTTTGCTAGGTAGCCCAGTCTCTCCTCAAACTCATTATGTACCCCAGGCTAGGTTTGAACTTGAGGCCCTCTTGCTTTGGCTTCCTAAGTGTTGGTTTATAGATGTGCACTGTGGTGTCTGGCCTTTGCCACCCCCCTCCCTTTTTTTTTTTTTTTTTGGTGGAACTGGGGTTTGAACTCAATGGCTCCATGTTTGTAAAGCAGGCATGTTGCTGCTTGAGCTGAACCTCCAGTCCTCTTTGCTAATTTTTTAAATTTTTTGTTTTGTTTTGGGTAGTACCGGAGTTTGAACTCAGGGACTTACATTTGTTAGGCAGGCGTTTTACCACTTGAGCCACTCCACCAGCTCCCTTTGCTCATTTTTAATTAGGTTTAATTTTAATTGTTTATTTGTAAGAGTTCTTTATGTTTAGATAAAGTTCCTTATTTAGATACATGATTTGCAAATATTTTCTTCCATTCTGTGGGTTGTCTTTTCACAGCATTTTTTCACTCAGGGCCTCATGCTTGCTAGGCAGGTGCTTTATCACTTGAGGCACACCTCCAATCTGTTTTGCTCTGGTTATTTTGGTGATGGGAGATTGTGAACTGTTTGCCTGGGCTGGCCTCAGATTGTGATTCTCTCGATTTCAGCCCCCAAGTAGCTAGGATTACAGGCATGGTGCCTTGCCAGAAGTTCCTAATTTTATATGGAAAGATTCATCAACTTTTGTCTTAGAGTCTTTATCTTTGATGTCATGCTTAAGAAGTCCTTTTCTGCTTCAACACTATATAACTGTTCATCTGTACTTTCTTTTAGTGCCGTTGAATTTTTTCTTAAGAAAAGCAGCTGTATTAGGAAGATGAAAATGGTAGTATACTAACATGAACAGTTAGGTTGTGTAAGTGAGTTGTATAAGGAAGGATCTGAAAATTCCTTTTTTGATGGACTTGGACCATTTTTACATGCACCTTGTTCTTTGCTCAGACCCCTTAACTTCAGCCTGCAAAACCATGGCTTAGTTTCCCTGCAAAAGAGATTGGAAATCAAATTTCTTAACTATCTGTATTACTTGAAGGAAAGGCACATTTGTATAGAGCACATTTTATAGAAACATTTAGTCTGAAAAACTTCCTATTGTTATAACTTACTGCAAGGTGAGTGCATAGAATTTTGTTTTTTATACTTAAAATTTCAACTTATTTGAACTTACTTTGGTAAAAGCATAGAGTTTTAAAAATGACTAACCAGATATTCAGTGCTTCTTTTTATTTTTAATTTTTTTGGCATAATTCACCCTTTGCTTGCTGATTTGAAATAACTTTTTTTTTGTGTTTTGGCTGTGCTGAGGTTTGAGCTCAGGGCCTCACACTTTCTAGGCAGGCGTTCTACCACTTGAGCCACTCCACCAGCTCTTGGAATAACATTTTAATCAGACATATTTTATATATGTATAATGTACACATATATGTAATACATACATATAGTATATGTATTATATACACATACATATGTGTATATGTATAGTCAGATGTATAGTCATACATTTGTGCATATATATGTATACGTACATATGTGTGTATATATGTATACATACGTATTTTCTGTTGCTCTGTTGTTGTACTAATGTAACTTTGTACTACAGCTGTAGTTAGGTGTTAGAATCATTCCTTAATTTTCAAAAGAGTTCTAGCTGAGTATGCATTTCTAGTTGAAAACAACTTTGAATACCACGATTTGAAAACACCCCTGCAAGTTTGACGTTTCAGAGTTAAGGAAATGACTAAGCAATAAGTTATTTCCTGTGTTAATTTTTTGCATAGGACTGACAGAGCGATTCAGAAGTTTTACCTGTCATTTGCTCCTGACTGGTGTAACCTAATTCAGAGACATTTTGGAAGGAACATGGTTGATAATAATGGATGGTCCTTTCACATCTTTAGTTCTGTGTAAAAGTCCTTCTTTTTCTTACATGCAAGAACTGTAGAACTCTAGGAAGTCTCTCTGTCTCTATCTCTCTGTTTCTCTCATTTTTGGTTTTTTTGTTTTTTGAGACAAGGCTGCCCTAGGATTCACTATGTATCCCAGACTGGTCTTGAACTCACATTCCTCCTGCTCTGCCTCCCCGGTGCTGGGATTACTAGCCTGTGCTTTCAGGCCTAGTGGAAGACACTTTTTTAGAAGGGCCGTGCCATTTTGGGAAAGTATGCAAGTGGTTATTTGCTGTAATGTGTACTGTATCCACATGTTCTTTAAGACACAGTTAAAACTTTTTATGTATCATTTTTACATATAAACTAAAACATTTTCCTGATTGCGCATGTAATATGTGCTCATGTAAGCTGTGAGAATGTTACAACAGACATATACAGGACTTAAAGTAAATTAGTGATTCTGCCTTCTAGGTATAATTGTTGTTAATAGTGTATATTACTTCAGAATTCTTTTTTTGCTATGCTGTAACCTTATTTTCATCATGATATGCATATTTTTCTTTTATAAAAACAAGGCTATGTTATATATTATTTTGCAACCTAAAATTTTTGCTTCACAATAGCTTACGCATTTTTTTTCATGGTGGGAAAAGGTATATATCTTTATTTTTGTTTTATTCATTTACTTTTGAAACAGAGTCTTGCTGTATAGTCTAAGGTGGCTTTGAACTTTAGATCTTCCTGCATCTGCCTTCTAAGTGCTGGGATTGCAGGCAGGTGCCACCATGACTGGCTCTTTGAATTTTGTTTTTCTTTTTTGAGTGGGACTGAGGTTTGAACTCAGGGCTTTCTGCTTGCAAAGCAGATACTCTGTTGCTTAAGCAACACCTCCAGTCATCTTTGAAAAAGTTTTTAATGTAGTCTATATAGGTGTTTATTATTTTTAACTTACTCCATTTTTATACTTTTTTTTAGGGACAGGCAGTACTGGGGCTTGAATTTAGGACTTTGTGTTTGCTAGGCAGGTGCATTACTGTTTGAACCATGCCTCCAATTCTTTTTGCTCCGGTTATTTTGGCAATAGGGTCTCACTTTTTGCCTAGGCCAGCCTGGACTGCCATGTCCTTATTTTATGCTTTCCACCATAGGTGGGACGGCAGGCATGCACAACCACACTCAGGTTTTTTCTGTTGAGATAGGATCTCATAAACTTTTTTTCCTGGTCACAGTATTGCTCAGGCTGGTTTTAAACTCCTGGGCTCAAGTGATCTTGCTGCCTCATGTTCCTGAGTAGCTGTGACTACAGGTGTCTGGGCTGATGGTCATTTTAGTTGTTTACTTCTTATACAAATATTTCTACAATCTTGTTCATAGGTCTTAGAGCACTTGCACATAAGACAGATTTCTACAACTATATTTGGATCAAAGGAGATGGACATTTAAAAATTTAATAAATATTGCCAGTTCATCTACTGAAAGTTGTATCAGTTTATGCTCCAGTGGCATTGTGGTTTAGTTCCAGATTTTCTTTGCTGTTATCGGCACTAGTTACTAATTTTAAAAAATTGTCACTCTTTGTGTTTTAATAATTGATTTAGAATTGTCTTGTTTCTTGGTCATTTGAATTTCTTTAGTGTCTTGCTTAAGTATACCTTTAATCTTTTTTTTTTAGCAGTTCAATCCTGGACTCATGCTTGCTAGGCAGGTTCTCTACCACTTGAGTCACTCTGCCAGCCCTAGCACCCTAGTATGGTTTTTATATATATTTCAAGAAGGTATTATTTATTGTTGAAAAGTCTCTTTTTTTCAGTATTAATACTTAATGTCAATCTCTCCCTTTTCTGTTTTAGGATACCATGGCCAAGCGGAATACAGTAATAGGAACACCATTTTGGATGGCTCCTGAAGTGATTCAGGAAATTGGGTACAACTGTGTGGCAGATATCTGGTCTCTGGGCATAACTGCCATAGAGATGGCTGAAGGAAAGCCACCATATGCTGATATCCATCCAATGAGGGTAAGGAAGTAGAAAATCAGGGGTGTAGGTTGTTACTTGTCATCATTAGAAAGTTAATTCCAGTGATTTACTGGGTTACCTTCCAAACAATAAATAAATCAGTTGTTTATAATTGATAAGTGACTGAGTTATCACTTTCACTGACTTTAGGTATAGTTACTAATTAAATATAATCCACACCTCTGCATTCTAAAGGCTGTGTCTTCTAAAGGTTGTCCCTTTAAAAGATTCAAGTGGTAGAGCAACTGCCTAGCAAATGCAATGCTGAGTTCAAACCCTCATACCACTGAAAACCAAACAAACAAAAAGGATAACCACTACTCAGCTCCAGCCAAAGTTATGTCAAAACATAGATGTTTAAACTATTAAAAACATATGTATGTACATATAAGCAAGTCGAACTAAGCATTTCTGTAGCCTGTGTTCTGCAAAGGGACATTGTGAAATTTTTTTTGTTTTTTTGGTGGCACTAGGATTTGAACTCAGAACATGCTTGCTAGGCAGGTACTCTATCAGTTGAGCCACTCTGCCAGCCACATTGTGAGGTTTATGAGACTGTATATGAGAGAAGAAAGGGGTAGCAGAGAAATAAATCAGGTTCTCTAATTGTCATAATTTACCAAGCTTCAAATGTTACTCTAGTTTTTTTTTTCTGTACTGGTATTTGAACTCAGGGTTTTGTGCTTACTAGGGAGGTGCTTTACTGCTTGAACTATACCTTCAGTCTCTAGTCATATTTGTATTGGAGCAACACTTTCATTTTACCAAATCTTTTTTTTTTCTCCTTAACCAGGCAATCTTCATGATTCCTACAAACCCACCTCCCACATTCCGCAAGCCAGAGCTGTGGTCAGATAACTTCATGGATTTTGTGAAACAGTGTCTCGTGAAGAGCCCTGAGCAGAGAGCCACAGCCACTCAGCTCCTACAGGTATGAGTCACCCTGTGAGGCTGCCTTGACATTTCATTCATATGCTGACCAGAAGATGCTGCTTGGAGGCAGAGAAGATGTATAAGAAACTCCCTGCCTCTAGGGAGGCTTAAATCTATCTGAGAAGGAAGACATAGAAAATAATCTTAACTGATTGAACAAAGCAATGCAAGAAAATACAGGGTTGCTTGGGCTTAGAAAAGGTAAATTGCTATTGAGTGAGCACTGCTGTGTGCTGGTGCTTTGCACATTAATGCCATTTAATCATCACAATAGACCTTGGGAAAGGTGGGTGTTTTTTCACATTTTTGGGCTGGGGCTCAGCATCAGGGTTTGAACTCAGGGCTTCATGCTTGCTAGGCAGGTGCTCTTATGCTTTGTGGTACTCCACCAGTCCTTTTTTTGTGGTAGGGTTTTTAGAGTTAGGGCTTCCTGAATTAATTGCCTGGGGCTGGCTTTGAACTGTGATCCTCCTGATCTCTGTCTCCTCAGTAGCCAGGATTTACAGGCGTGAGCCACTGGCATCTGACCTGTTGTTTCAGTTTTATAGGTCAGAAAAACAGAGGCTTAGGTTAACTCATTTAGAGTTGCTCAGCTTATAAACAGTGGGGCCAGTGGTAGAACATGGGTCTTCCTTCCTTCCTCCCTTCCTTCCTCCTCCTCAAACCCCCCACCCCTTCTGTCTGGCTGTGTATCTCAGGCTAGTTCAAACTTGTGGTACTGCTGTCTTAGCCTCCCAAGATCTGAGATAATGGGCATGTGTCCCCATGCTAGGCCGAACTGGGTCTTTCTCATTCCAAAAGCAGGTTTTTCCATCAAGTCTACCATTTCTGACAAAACTGAGATCATTGGTGGGTACCATTGTAGCTCAGGATAAGAGGAGAGCACTTTGATGGTATTGAGGTACTTCCCTGGAGGAGGGAGCGTCTGTGCTTGGACTTTGAAGGATGGATGGAATTTGGCAGGTGGCACTATGGCCTAATGCCTAAGGGCTTGCATTCAGAGGTAATACTGCCTGTGTTTGAGACCTGGCTCCAATTTACTCGCTTTGTGACCTTGGACAAGTAACTTAGCCTCTTGCTTCCTTAGTTTTCTTTTTTATAAAATGAGAATAAAGTACCTCCCTCAAATGTTGTGAAGTGATACAATGTGTATAACTTTGAACAATGTGTTACACATTGTGAAGATAGTTTTGGCATAGACTTGATAAGTATCTCCTATTATTATTGGACTAGGCTAGTGGTTTTCAACCAGTTCAGACCCAGTGACCCATTTTTCTGGAATGAAGCTCATAGATAATAAAATCTGTTCATGCTCATAATTTAGAGTCAGTATTATCTATGATATAGTGAGAACTACAAAGATAACAACTTATCATAAGATAGTATGTGCATCAGTGTAGAAATCAACTGCAGACACAGTGCATCTGTTATATGTTTGAGATCAGTTTTAGTACTTCTGCAGTAACCGTACTTTTGTATTAAAACCCTTTTAACCTAAATATATAGTTGCAAATGTCATAATACATTGAATACAACAAGTGGGATGAGTAAATTATGCAGTGACTTTTAAATAGTGTCTTTATTTCATTTAAGTCCCCCTATCCAGAAATCACCCCCCAAATCTCTGGATTCTGCATATCTCTTGAAAAAAAGTCAGTGTTTATATATATACATGTATATATATGTATATTATAGTGTAATATAAATTCTAAGACATTTGAAAGATGTGCAAAATGTGCCACAGTTCATTGTCATGCAGGACTGGTGGTTCATCCTTCTTAAGATTGCTGATATCCCCACCTCCCATCCCATGCCACATGTGCTCTCCAAACATTGTGACAACAGGCTCCCAATGTGTTTACAAAACTTCTTGTAGGAGCTGATACCACTGCTTTGAGAATCTAGATTAGACAGAGAAAAGACATAGGTATTCCAACCAGTCCAAAAAGCATAGCCAAAGTCTGAATTTGTATCTGTCTTCTCATAGTGATAAAGAAGGTGGTTTAGCTATTGTCCAAACTATAAAGAGAAAAATTAGATTCACTGATTAACAAATATTATCAAGTACCTACTCTGTCTAGTGTCTACTTTATTGTTTAAGCACCCGTTTGTCAAGAGTGCCAAAGGAGTGTCAATACTGCGGGACTTAATTAATGAAGCCATGGATGTGAAACTGAAACGCCAGGAAGCCCAGCAGCGGGAAGTGGACCAGGATGATGAAGAAAACTCAGTGAGTGGCAGGCATTGCTGGGGTCTTGAGGCATGAATGCTTGTTAGTTAGTGATTGCCATGTTGGATCAGCCTGGAGCTGATCTGTGTCCTGGCCAGGCTTGCCAGAGGCTTTCTGTGCTTGTTCTTCCCTCAGTGCTTCCTAAAATCCTTTTGAGTTTTATTCTTATCTCTATGTCTTTTATTCAGTTTAACTTTTTGTTTGAGAGAGAGAATGCTCAGGTCTGAGACTTGGTTTTTCTAACCTTTTTGGGGAAATCTAGGATCCATACTTAACATGTAACTTTTACCCTTATAGACTCCCTTACAATCCTGAGCTTCTAAGGGTGATTATGTCAGCTTCTTAGATCTACTTTGCAAAAGTCTAATAAGAAGGAGGGAGAAGAGGCCCCTGTAGGATTAGATATGCTGCTCTCATATGGGTAAATTTATGATCTTTGGTTAAATAAGTAATTTCAGTCCTTCAAGGTAAGTTTAGAACCTGAAGACATATCAAATCCAGAAATAATTGCACCAAGATGAGTAACAGTAATTAGAAAACTCATTGTTTTGATCAAATTAGCCCCAGTTTTGAGATTTTTGTCCTTTTATAGGAAGAGGATGAAATGGATTCTGGAACGATGGTTCGAGCAGTGGGTGATGAGATGGGCACTGTCCGAGTAGCCAGCACCATGAGTGATGGAGCCAATACCATGATTGAGCATGATGACACGTTGCCATCACAGCTTGGCACCATGGTGATCAATGCGGAGGATGAGGAAGAGGAAGGGACTATGAAAAGTAAGGCTTTGATGAGGTACACTAACTTCTCAGACAATGCATACACATTCCAGAGAACACTTGTTCACATAGTCCACATAGGCTCAGTCTTGAGTCCACTCTTCTGTTGCCACAACCAAAGTAGGTTTTATATCAGAGGGCTGTGCAGGGCAGGAGGTGGGAAGGGGTAGAGTAAGTGTTTGGAGTCAGAGGCAAGAAAGTGCCAGCAATGAGAAGGGATTTTGCTTTTCAACCCACCAGCATTCTTTCATTGAATGTTGTCATTGAAAGCAGATTTATACGTTATTTTGATGCATAATTCATCCCAAGGTATAATGAAATTCTAAGTACAGTATATATCTTCAGTTCATTTTCGTAATAGTTTGGCTATCTAACCAAGGTTTGCCAAACACTCAGTCAAGGATGACTGTACAAATTTAAAAAAAATTCTGTCAAGTGCCTTCAGAAGTGTCCATCTTGCTGCTGCTGCTGCTTTTTTTTTTTTGAGATGGGGATCTCACTTTGTTGCCCAGGGTAGCCCTGAATTCCTATTCTCAAGTGATCTTCCGGTTTCAGCCTCCCAAGTAGCGGGGACTTCAGGTACCTCTCACTGTGTCTAGCTCTCTGCTTTTTTTTAATCTATGAGACCCTTTTTGCCTTTGATGAGAAGTGATACCTTAGGGTAACATGCTCTTCTCTACTTTTTAGCTATTGCCTCTCCTTACTCTGAGCATTATAGACTAGCTCTCAGAGAAAAGCAATTAGAAGTAAAAATGATAATGATTGAGTTGTATAGGTCCAGTTTACCTTAAATCTGCATAGGTTTAAAGCCCAAAGTCTTCTGTATATATATTTTAAATTCTTTATATTTTTGCAGTGCTAGGGCTCTAACCCAGGTCCTTGCTCATTCTAAGGAAATGTTCCACCACTGAACTATATCCCCAGGTCCCCTTTCTAAAATTTAAAAGCCTTTCCTGTAAACCATGGATCAGCAAGCTATGGTCCACAAGCCAAATCTGGCCTGGTAATTTTGGTAATAAAGTTTATTGGAACATAGATATGGCCATTTACTTACATGTTGTCTATGGCTGTTTCGCTGCTAAAAAGGCAGAGTTGGGTATTTGTAAGAGAGACATCTGGCTCCTAAAATATTTGCTGTCTGACCCTTTTCACACTGAAAAAGATTACTAGTCTCAGCTCTAGACCCTTTGCTTTGTGATTAATTCATTCAATAAATTTTTCTTTTTTGCCTGTTGTTTCCTGAGTAGTTTGCTAAGTGTCAAGAACAGCAAGGAATGAAGAAACAGCCCTTGCCCAAAGGAGCTGATTATCTAGTCTGGGGGAAAGACCACTAATTATAGTTCAGTGTATGAAATGAGTTCTAACATAGGAGTAATCTGAGGGTGCTGTTAGAGCAGAGTGGAAGAGTATTTCATTTAGACTGGGGTTTCTGGAGGAAAAAAGCAGTGAAGCTGGCAGCATGCAGGGTGGGCAGAGGTGTTCCTGCAGAGGAAGTAGCGTGCACAAGGTCCTGGGCAAGAGGATTGAGTTTAAGGAGCTGAGTGGCTTATTGTGGCTAAAATGGACAGTTATAGGGCAAGGTTCTCAGGTGACTCCTGTAATCTCCATTTTTCAGGTCATAGTCTGTGTATTTTTAATCAATCTCTTGTTTTCAAAGGAAAATATTTTCTATTTTGTGGCTCCGGTTTGTTGTCTGTTTGGCTTCTGATCAGAATTACATATATGATGAAGGGATGATAATAATGTGGATAAAACTTTTCTGGAATGTAATGTGTATCAAGAATTTAAAAAGTTCAGACCTTTGATTCAGTAAATTCCATGTCTGGGAATCTGGTCTAAGAAAATAAATGAATATATAGACAATTATATTCAAGAGTATTCCAAAACATTGTACTTAAAAGTATAAAAAAAAGACTGGATTCATTTAAATGGTCAGTAGCAGATGATTGGTCAGATTAATTATGGTGCATCCATAGGATAGAATACTGTATATACAAAAATATTAAAAATCCTGTTTTGAGAAACACTTAGTGAATTGGGGAAATATTTGTTGAGTGAAAGAAAAAGGAATGAATATTACAGCATGACTATAGTTTTATAAATATAAAAAGATTATATATATGCATATAATCACATATATATATTTTCATATATATATATATATATATATGAAAAGAAGAAGAAAAAAGGGCTGGGGAGAAATAAATCAAAATTTTAAAAGTGGTTGTTACTGGTACCTGATGCAGTCTTAAGTAGAACCTAGGAGAAGGCAGAATTTCACTGAAACCTAAAGAACAAGTAGAGGTTAGCCAAATGTGCTGGTCTAGAAGATACATTAGTAATTTTCTTCACTGTTTTGTGGAACACCCATAGGACAGAATAGCCTGTCTTCCTGAATACTTATTTGCTTGATGATAAGGAAAATTCACATTTTAAAAATTTCTATTGAGGCTAAAGGTGTGGCTCAAGTGGTAAAGGGCCTGCCTAGCAAGCTCAAAACCTGGAGTTCAAACCCCAATACTGGAAAAAAAAAATCTTTACCAAGCATGGTGGCTCATACCTGTAACCCTGTTTGGGAGGTTGAGATCTGAGGATCATGGTCTGAGGCCCACCCTGGCAAATAGTTTGAGAGACCCCATCTCCAAATTAACCAGAGCAAATGGACTTGAGCTTGTGGCTCAAGCAGTAGTGCAGCTGCTTTGCAAGCTTGAAGCCCTGAGTTCAAACCCCAGTCCTACCAAAAATTAAAATTCTGTTAAGTTCCAGATACCGTTTTTATTTGAAATATTTCAACAGTTTAATTCTCACAATAATGAAATAGATTTTTAAAAATTGTAGTCTACTGTTTAGAATTAACAATTAACATACTGATTTCTTTTTAGATATGTGTTATGTGTTCTAAGAAAAAAACACCTGTGACTTTACTGGCAAAGTTAAGGCCTCCAATATCTCTTCTAATCACATTAATCATAAATTTGGTGTGTAATTTCTTATGCTTTGTATTTTTGGTACATTTTGTATATATCTACAAATAATAGCTGTTGTCTTTCTTGAAGATGCTATTGTATGGCATACCTTTTAACAGTGTGCTGTTTTTAAACAGGGAGCACACTGTATTTGTCTTTTTTCTTTTTGCTGAACATTGTTGCTTCTAGTTTTTTTGGCGGTACTGGGGTTTGAACTCAGGGTCTCACGTTTGCTAGGCAGGCACTCTACCACTTGAACCACTCTGCCAGTCCTTTTTTGTGTTGGGTATTTTTGGCATAGGGTCTCATGAACTATTTGCTTGGGCTGTCTTTGGACCATAGTCCTGATCGCTGCCCCCTGAGTAGCTAGGATCATAGGCTTGAGCCACTGGTGCCCAGCTTGCTTTGGTTAGTTTTGAGGTAGGGTCTTACTTTATGACTGGGCCAGCCTGAACTGCGATCCTCCTATTTATGCTAACCATGTATGTGGGATGACAGGCGTGCACCACAGCACCCAGCCATTGGTTGAGATATGGGCGGGGGGGAGGTCTTGTGAATTTTTGTATGGGCTGGCCTTGAACCATTATCCTCCTGATCTCCACATCTCCACCTCAGTAGTAGCTAGGATTATAGACTTGAGCCACCGTGTACAATCACTCTGCAATTTCTCTGAGAGGGAATGGCTTCAGAGAGGTTGTTACTTCTTCATGGTCCCATGGCTAATAAGTGATAGAGCTGGGAATTGAAAACATTCCAGAGTATATGCCATTTTCATTCTGCGAAATTTCTGGTTTGTTTCGGTTGCCTACACTTACATTCATAGGCATTAGACTCATAATACAAAACTTAAAAACTAATGGTAAGTTTCATACTGTCTTCCAGTAAGATTCCAACAATGTCTTCTGTTTGTATTTTTAAAACAATTATTATATATGTTATTTATTATACTCCTAATATAGCTGTTATGAGTACTAGTAATAATTATGAGCAATTAGGCAATTAATATATACCAGTCACTGTGCTTAATCCTTTTTAAGCATTTCACATATTTTAATCATTACAGTCATCCTGTGTGGTAAACATAGTAACAATTTTATAGCAGTTGAAACTGAGTTGCACAGAGATGAATTAACTTGCTTCTGATTACATAATAAGTAAAAGAAGAGCCAACATTTGAACCCTGGTATGCTTGATTTCAGAGCTCACACTCTCAACCATTCCTTTATTTTGATCCAGAAGAGCCCACTTACCAAATTGTGGGTGCCATGACTAAGGCTTATGTTACAGCTAACGCTGATCTCAGCCTGTGGTAATATACCTCTCTTTGTTGGCTGTTTCTATCTCCTCTACATATGTTCCTAGGATTTCCAGAAGGGAAGGGCAGATGATTTTCAAAGGGGGCTTGCCTCTGAGGCTAATGATACTGTTATGTCTGAAGGAAGATGTTTCAGATGTATAGATCGGAGCCTATGGTAAAGAGTCAGATTTCAGTTGGAGGGGGGAGTTTAAGTGAGGTGAGTGAGAACTGATTGCTTTATAAGTAGATCTCAAGAATACTTGTTAGAATCCTGATAGGCAAACATAGTCCACACTACTTTGAAAATTCCTGTGTGGATAAAATACCAGATTGCACATCTTTTGCTGCTGCT